CGCTTTCACCTGAACCAACTGACGGGAGAAAAATAAACAACAGTGAAAAAAATCCACAGAATTATAGGAAAACTTTCTATGTTAATTGTTAAGCTAGCCTGAAATGGTAGCATGAAATGAACATTTATTTAAAACAATTAACAACAGAAATCAACTTTGATAATTGTAAAGAGCGGCAACATTTTAGATTACTATTTTCCATATCTTTTTTATAAATATTTAAATGAAAATAGTGCAAAATTAAGACTAAAAAATTTCTATAGAGGTCATTTCAGTTTTTTCTCCCCCACAAATCTTTTAAACTTTATTTAAAAATCGGCCGAAATAAAAAATCAGCAATAGTAACAATTTACTATCAATAATGCTTAGCCTTGTAAAAGCAATTAGTATACAAGTTTTTATATTATAAATGTAATTGTTTTAGATATAACACAGTGATAGACCTACTGCTCTAATACAACTGCAACAATTAATATAAAAATGTTTCCTCATAGATTATCAGCTATATTGTCTGCGCCACCCGAAAAAGAGAGATTGATCTATATATAAATAAACCGGGAGTGATCTCCCCTAACCTTTCTCGAATATTCTTATATGAAACAACAGGGAATGGCAACTCGGGACATAGACATGACTTTTAATCCATTTTAAATACTTAAACTTTTTAAAATAGAATAAAATCTCGTAGAGAAAAGAATTGCACACCAAGTGAACGTCATATAAAATGTGCAAAATAGTGCGGAATATTATTAGTACTTTATAAAATTATTACTTCTGGTCAACCGAAATTACTCAAAATTTTATAGAAGGCAGAGAATTAGATCTTTTACTTACATGTGAAATTTTATTTATCCATCTGAAATAGTACTCAAGTTATAGGCTTTTGAAAAATTTGAAGTAGAAAAAGTTCCACTTCCGGTTATCGGAAATCACTCACAAGTTGATAAGGATCTACGATTTTGATATAATACTTGTATATGAAATTTCATCAACCTAGCTGTAACGGTACTCAAGTTATTGTATTTACAGACACACACACAGACACACACACACAGACAGAATGGGACAATCCAGTTTTTACGACTCCATTACGCATAAAACGCCAAAATTTTGATATATTTGGATTTATAATTTTTGCCCGATTAAAACAAGTCCTCTACATCCCGGATGTGATGAAGGACTGAGGAGTAAAACGGCGAAAACTGTCCAAATTTAATGTGATTTTTGTGCACGATTACAAGACTTTCTCTATACTTCGTATATACGAGAAAGTAAAAAAGCAATGTATGGGTGTGTGTCTGTCTTTTATGCATTACTACACCTTTCATTCCATCGCAGAGAAGCGACAATTTGATTCTTCTCTATATACGGTATTCCCATGAGTGCTATGGAAGTGGCACACAACATTCGATGATTAAACAGAGCCAGGGGCTGTATGTGATGGCCCTGAGGTAACGTAACTGGGGGCTCCCAAGAGTGCCCCTCTACGTCCCCTAGAGTGCCCCTCTACGCCCCTGAGACCTAGGCGGTCGCAGTGTGTTCTACCTCATTATTACGTAGAGTGATTAACATACACATAAGGCTTTCATGCACCACGCCCTGGGCCGTGCTGGGCAATATTGTAGATAAACCAGTGTCCCGAAAAACCTGATTCAAGAAATATAGCGCAGGTATTGTTTACATCGAAATAATTCAGTTTTAGAAAACAATGTCACACATCTAAGAATGTAGGATTGGATTGATGAAACCCTCTTAATATCAAGTCATACTTTCTTCTGAGACAGCTGCAACGCGTGGACGGGTTCGCTAGTAAGTATTAAAATATTTGTAAGTTTAATTGTGATATTAATATTGTACTAACACTTTGGATAGCTATGTCTGTATTTAACACAACTGTTACTACAGTGAATTACAAAATGTATTTAGTTAACTGATTTAAAATAATCTTATTTTAAAATGTGAAACAAACATCAAAATCTCAATTTCAGGCAAAACAGTATATTTTGTAGTGACCTCTAAATTTTGATATTTTCTCCCCATATTTTTATTGAAAGGTTGTTATACAAAATAATAACCCAAAACAGATGGTGCCAACCATAAAAAATTATAACATTTTGCATGTAAGGACCACCCTGTTTTATATATATATGTATATATGTGAATATATATGTGCGAATATATGTGTGTGAATATATGTGTGTGAATATTTATGTCATTTTTATTTAAAATTTTGATTAACAATGAAATGAATATGACACTGTAATACAACCATGTTAGATAAATTAGCTTCAGCAAAAAATTATTTGAGCTTAGAAATGTTTGGTAGGAAAAAAACAATGTGCTAGTACCAGGCAGTAGTTTGTATTACCAACACAGCTTGCTTATACTAGCCTGGTATCTGCTCTGTCAGAAAACAATACCTGCTTAAATTGCAGTGATGGCATAAAAAAACAACAGATTTTTCACATAAGTTTAAAGACATAAGAATACCATTTTATAAAAGTAGAGGATGTAGGAATAAAGAATACAGAGTGCACTGATCAGTGATACACATAGATATATGTATATATGTAACTAGATCGGAATTCGTAAGCTGTGGACAAATAAAAGTAACAGACATCACATGTCTGTCAGAACTCCACTTATGCTAGAGCTCCAAGTTGGAAGAGTATTGCACTCAATTACTACAATCCCACTCTGTTTACTGTGTAGGTTTTTCAAAAAACATGTTTCAGGAATTGGTGACCATCCTAACATACATCTTACTTGTAAATATATGTAGAAAGATATTGTCTACTAAGGTAAAGATAAAACAATTCAAATTTCAAACAAATAAACAAGTACTTACTAAATATAGAAAATACTACATTCACGAACAGTAGCTTACAATCTACTGTAATACCCTTTCATCCTGTAATTGTATAAAATGCTAAGCACAAGAAACTCTCACAACTGGCCTGTAATTGTATAAAATGCTAAGCACAAGAAACTCTCACAACTGGCCTGTAATTGTATAAAATACTAAGCACAAGAAACTCTCACAACTGGCCTGTAATTGTATAAAATACTAAGCACAAGAAACTCTCACAACTGGCCTGTAATTGTATACAATACTAAGCACAAGAAACTCTCACAACTGGCCTGTAATTGTATAAAATGCTAAGCACAAGAAACTCTCACAACTGGCCTGTAATTGTATACAATACTAAGCACAAGAAACTCTCACAACTGGCCTGTAATTGTATAAAATGCTAAGCACAAGAAACTCTCACAACTGGCCTGTAATTGTATAAAATGCTAAGCACAAGAAACTCTCACAACTGGCCTGTAATTGTATAAAATGCTAAGCACAAGAAACTCTCACAACTGGCCTGTAATTGTATAAAATACTAAGCACAAGAAACTCTCACAACTGGCCTGTAATTGTATAAAATACTAAGCACAAGAAACTCTCACAACTGGCCTGTAATTGTATACAATACTAAGCACAAGAAACTCTCACAACTGGCCTGTAATTGTATAAAATGCTAAGCACAAGAAACTCTCACAACTGGCCTGTAATTGTATACAATACTAAGCACAAGAAACTCTCACAACTGGCCTGTAATTGTATAAAATGCTAAGCACAAGAAACTCTCACAACTGGCCTGTAATTGTATAAAATGCTAAGCACAAGAAACTCTCACAACTGGCCTGTAATTGTATAAAATGCTAAGCACAAGAAACTCTCACAACTGGCCTGTAATTGTATAAAATGCTAAGCACAAGAAACTCTCACAACTGGCCTGTAATTGTATAAAATGCTAAGCACAAGAAACTCTCACAACTGGCCTGTAATTGTATACAATACTAAGCACAAGAAACTCTCACAACTGGCCTGTAATTGTATAAAATGCTAAGCACAAGAAACTCTCACAACTGGCCTGTAATTGTATAAAATGCTAAGCACAAGAAACTCTCACAACTGGCCTGTAATTGTATAAAATGCTAAGCACAAGAAACTCTCACAACTGGCCTGTGTATACAAACACATACTTTAGCCTCATTCCAGTGTGCTGTTTCATGCATTCAACTGGTTGACACACAGGGACCCTCCACTGCTGTAGGCTTACACTTAGATCTAACCTACAAGATAGGGTGGGGGATGGGGGGTGTTCACAACACCTGTTTGATAACACAGCAGTGGTGGTGGCTGATGACAAGCAAGCAGATAACTCTTATCTGCAAGAGTTAAACCAGCATGAAACATACAATACATTTTTTTTTACACAGAACATCTTATAATAAATGCCACATAACACAGTACTTATACAATAAATGCCACTTTTTTACACAGCAATAGATATAAATGCCACTATTTGAAGTATTTGACACACACTTGTATATAGATGCCACTTTTTTACACAGCACTTGTATATAAATGCCACTTTTTTACACAGCAATAGATATAAATGCCACTATTTGACACACACTTGTATATAGATGCCACTTTTTTACACAGCACTTTTATATAAATGCCACTTTTTTACACAGCAATAGATATAAATGCCACTATTTGACACACACTTGTATATAGATGCCACTTTTTTTTACACAGCATTTGTATATCTTTGCTGGTCTTTGATATTTTTCTCCATGCTTTCCTCACTCTTCTACACAGGCAGCTAAAATCCTGTCCAAAGAGATTTGCTTTTTCCTCCCTATTAGGTTTGGGAAATGAGTTGGTTAGGAGTCATTAACTGGTCTAATGCAGAATGAGTAGCAACTTGTTTGTAAACAAGACAAAGAACAATAAGGAATCTAATATATAAAGCTCAATTCTGAATGTTTGGGCCAGCGGGCCGTGGATTACAAAGAAATATAGCGTTAAACATCTAAATTAATGATGTTAAAAATTAATAATGAAGGTGTTGTAAAACCATTTTCATTTTTCAAACTTATTGTAAATGTAATAATCGTTGGCATGTCCATCAAAACAAATTTTTAAAAAAAAATGTATTACCTTTCACAATTGTGTCTGAAAATTATTTAGCACTCATTACTTTCCTTGATTAATTAGGAAAACACAATTACTTCTCTTTACAAAAACATTACATTGGGGGAAATCTTTTTTCTTTTTTTACTTTCTCGTATATACAAAGTATAGAAAAAGTCTTGTAATCGTGCAAAAAAAAAAATCTTTTGGAAATCTCGACGTTTTACACCTCCCTGAATCGGAAAAACATAGTTTTGCAATCTTCTCCGTATATCTGTGTGTGTGTGTGTATCTGTGTGTAAACACGATAACTTGAGTACCGTTACAGCTAGGTTGATGAAATTTCATATATAAGTATTTTATCAAAATCGTAGATCGATATCAACGGATTTTGAACGATTTCCATAACCGGTATTGGTATTTTTTCTACTTTGAATTTTTCAAAAGCCTATAACTTGAGTACTATTTCAGTAAGATAAATGAAATTTCACATGTAAGTAAAAGATCTAATTCTCTATCTTCTGTCAAATTTGAGTAATTTCCGTTGACCGGAAGTAGTAATTTACGCTATTTCCGATTTCTCAAAAAACTAATGTAAATTTGTAAAGTACTAATAATATTGCGCACTATTATGCACATTTTATTTGGCGTTCACTTAATGTGCAATTCTTTTTCCACGAGATTTTATTCTATTTTAAAAAGTTTAAGTATTTAAAATAGATTAAAAATCATGTATATATCCTGAGCTCCCATCCCCTGTTGTTTTTATATAAGAATATTTGAGAAAGTTTAGGGGAGATCACTCCTGGTTTATTTACTTGTGTTGGTGTTGAAAAAAAAATAAAACATAATTAGCAGGGATTGATCAAGTGCAATGTTGTGGGCATTTTTAATATTGCCTTTTATTTATTTTATACACTTAACGTACTATTTACTAATCATTTTTTTAAATCTCTTAAGAAGCCAACTCCTAAATGTCCTCTATGTTTACTTCTTTCCAGCTTGAGGTAATATAATTGAAACAGGCTCGTCCGCCCGGCAGGGTTCGATTTCGCGCCCTCGGCTAAACTGTAAGCCCTCTGCGTTTATGTTAGCGTTTTCTTTGTGTTTGGTTTGGGTTTGTGTTTGGATTTGGTTTGTTTTCATTTGCTTTTTTGTTTACGTTTGTGTTTGTGCTTGCGTTTGTGTTATGTTGGCATTTTTTTGTGTGTTTTGGTTTTGGTTGGTTGTGGTTAGGGTGCAGGGCCTGGCCGGGACGGCTAATTAGATATATTTTTAAAACTTGAATGCTAGGATAAAGTCACAACACCTAACATAAAGCTGCCACAACACCTACCTATCCAGGTGCAGGGGGTAACCACCACAAGAGTCCAACCCAGTTAGACAAGACCCCAGGTTTCCCACAGCCAAAACTGGCCAGACAATGAAAGTTCCAGCCATAAACTACACTACCAACACTAGCCCCTACCTGACACCAGCGGTCAAACCATGGTCTGCACAAAGTAATATATATGCGTTGGCCACTTTTAATAGCCTAGTCCCAAAGACTGTAACGTTGACTACTTTTAATAACCTAGTCTCTAGGACTCTAGGTGCTAGTGTAAGTATGCACAGCTTAAAGTGTCGAGTCCAATCCCCAATTACAGCTGACTGCTTGCTCGTCTCAACAAGCTTTGGTTGCTTTAAGTAAAAATATCAAATCACTGAAAAACCTTTAGTCAAACCCCAGGTGGCCGTAACAAGAAATATAGAAATAAATTTATATATAGCCTAAATATTTGTTTTAGTAATCTATAGATTATAGATAGATCAGATTAGTTATGCAAACAATAGCTAAAATAGCATGCAAAAAACAAACTTAGCAACAAACAAAATTTTCAAGCTCATTCAGATTAACAGTGACAGAAGATCACCATAATAGCAAGACAGCATACACTGATCACTGTGAAGTTATGTCTACAACATTCTTTTATGTTTTAAATGAGCTCAAGAAATGGGGAATTGTGCAAAGTCCTTGTGTATGATGTACTTAGACTAGGAACAAGGGAAAATTAGTTGAAACTCTAATCCAGCAGGTAGGGGACATAACTGTGTTAAAACCTTTGTTATTTGATCTGGCTGGCTTTTGTCCACATTACTCTTTATATTGTAGTTTTTTATTTTGCAAGACTGTATTTGTGTGACAAGTCATGCCATGTCCTGAGGTACAGAAGTTTAATGGCACTAAAAATCACAGAAACACTCTGCAAAGTAAGGAACACCCTGACTGTGAGTGAGTGAGAAACACCCTGTCTGTGAGTGAGTGAGAAACACCCTGTCTGTGAGTGAGTGAGAAACACCCTGTCTGTGAGTGAGTGAGAAACACCCTGTCTGTGAGTGAGTGAGGAACACCCTGACTGTGAGTGAGAAACGCCCTGACTGTGAGTGAGTGAGAAACACCCTGTCTGTGAGTGAGTGAGAAACACCCTGCCTGTGAGTGAGTGAGAAACACCCTGTCTGTGAGTAAGTGAGAAACGCCCTGACTGTGAGTGAGTGAGAAACACCCTGTCTGTGAGTGAGTGAGAAACACCCTGTCTGTGAGTGAGTGAGAAACACCCTGTCTGTGAGTGAGTGAGAAACACCCTGTCTGTGAGTGAGTGAGAAACACCCTGTCTGTGAGTAAGTGAGAAACACCCTGTCTGTGAGTGAGAAACGCCCTGACTGTGAGTGAGTGAGAAACACCCTGTCTGTGAGTGAGTGAGAAACACCCTGTCTGTGAGTAAGTGAGAAACACCCTGTCTGTGAGTGAGAAACACCCTGTCTGTGAGTAAGTGAGAAACACCCTGACTGTGAGTGAGAAACGCCCTGACTGTGAGTGAGTGAGAAACACCCTGTCTGTGAGTGAGTGAGAAACACCCTGCCTGTGAGTGAGTGAGAAACACCCTGTCTGTGAGTAAGTGAGAAACGCCCTGACTGTGAGTGAGTGAGAAACACCCTGTCTGTGAGTGAGTGAGAAACACCCTGACTGTGAGTGCCTTCCATACCAACTGAGACAGTGTGCTAACACAACTACTAGTCTAGCCCTCAGTGAGAGAACATCACTTCCATACCAACAGAAAGTGTAAGACTAAAGCAGGACTTACCTCGATGGGCCACTACTTCATAAATGTCATCATCCTCCTCACTGGCATTGTGTATATCCTCTTCTCCTGGAATCCCCTGATAAAAGTTGTCCCCTCCTACATCACTTGATGCTGTAGAACTTGTCTGACTCCGAGCTTTTTGTATCTTCCACTTTGGAGGACCCTCCAAATCTGGGTTCATTTTGTTTACTTGTTTCACAAAGTCTGACACTTTGAGCCCCTCTGTAAATATGGACTCTTCTTTCTTTTTCTTAGCAATGATGGGTATGTCATCAACAACATCAGACTTGGTTAGTTCACGAGCTTTTTGCTGAAGAATGATGTGGTCAGTTTCAGAATCCTTCCTTGGAATCGTTTCTGTGGGAACACCTCTTTGGAAATCCATCATGAGTCTCTCAAATCTTTCACTACTGATTTTACGTGAAATTCTTTTATCATTCAACTCTGGACTTTTGGCAGTGACAGCGGGTTTCTGGTCAAGTGTTGACTTGACATTGCGCAACTTGACTTGTGCAAATTCTGGTTTGGCTTCAGTTTTTGCTGAGTGGCTTGGAATTCTCTCCACTTTAATTTCACTCAGTATATTGCCCTGCACAATCATGTCAGATTTAGAAGAACTTTTAGGCTCTATATTAAGTTTTGGGCCTTCAGTTTTAGCAGTTGTGCTGTTTAAAGGTTTGTCTTTATAAGAAGTGATGTTTTCACCAGAGTCCAGCCGTTCAATTTGAATTTCTCTGGCTACAAGTCGCTTTGACCTTTGCACAGGGGGACTCCCTTCAACAGCATTAGGTTTATCAGAATGAAATTTTGATTTAGCTAATGTTGGTGGTGAATTATTTTTTTGAGCTGTGTGACTGCTATCTGTAGGTGGGGCATCTGTCTCTCTGCCATTTCTTAGCTTACTATCATGAGGAGATTTTTTGGCTATGTCAACCGTAACATCATTTCCAGTACTTGTGATGTGCATCACTGGTAATTCTAGCCGACCACATTTGTCTCTTTCAAAAATGCTTTTAGTGTCATTGGTTATACTGTTTAAACTACTTGAACTGGCACTCCAAGGGTTTTTTGATTTAAGCTCCCATTTTGGCGCTGCTATACTAGGGGGGCATGTTGCACTAGTCTTTGAGTTTTCTAATACTGGACTACTTTTTCCAGAGCTAGCTTGGGTCTTTGAAGGGGAGAAAGGCCTGGCAGTGGTAAGAGCTAATGAAGCTGTTCTGGTGTTTACTGATGGGATAGATGAAAGGCTAGAAGAGCTTGCTGACTTGGCAGATGTTACAGATGCTGCTGCTGACTTGCTTGATGTGATAGATGATGCTGTGGAAGAGGTTGCTGAAGTGGTTGATGTGATAGATGATGCTGTGGAAGAGGTTGCTGAAGTGGTTGATGTGATAGATGATGCTGTGGAAGAGGTTGCTGAAGTGGTTGATGTGGCAGATGCTGGTGCACCAAGTTTCCTCTGAGCTGCTGCTTGAAGTGATGAACTGACGGAAGATATAGTAACAGAAGACGATATCTTAGAGCTTGAAGTACAAGATGAAACAAATGGACTTTCTTTTGATTGTGTTGAAAGTTTTTTTTCTGAATTAGGAAGAGTTTTAATCTTTGCAGAGCTGAGAGTGGTGACAGCAGGATCTCCAGTGGAGGGGTCAAACTTAGCCTTGAGATCCTGGACACTGGCAGGTTGAAGTGGTGTGTGAATTGATGTCCTTGACACTCTAGTCGACACATTTTTTGAAGACATCTTCAGGATGGACACTCACTTGGCCACTAATCTCTTTTACCCTCAACTTAGCTTTTAAAAATTTCAACTATCTAGCCAAGAGCAAATCAATGTGCTTTTATTTGACAAAATACTCAAAAATGCTGGTGGAAGCTGTTAGTCCACTATTTACAAGCATTTTTTTTTAATTAAAAAAAAAAGCCATGCGTTAGTCACATGATTCAGCAGGCTTTGTTAGTCCCTGTAAAATGAAAATAACAAGGATGTTAGCAGGAAAGGTTAGAATGTTGCATTCAAAAAGTCTTTAACACACAAATAACTAACTGAATAAGTAGTCTTATAAATTTATACCATTTTATTCCACATTTTTTTTTTTACTTTACTGGTGACAGCTACTTGACTGGCTGAACAGTCTATAGCTAACTGCACTAACCTTTAGTAAATTTATCTCTATGTTTAGTTGCATCACATATTTATTTGGTACATGAGGGTAGAAACCAATGTTTTGTGTTTCAATATTCTACTAGGAAACTTTTTAAAATTTTTCTTTTGGTTAGTTGCGAATACATTTATAATGCTGTAGGCCTCTTCATCCAGCCATTAAGCTGTAAATTATGGTTTTACAGCCGCAGCACATTTCATTATTTGCATACTTTTTACAGCCGCAGCACATTTGATTATTTGCATAATCTTCTTCCTGCTGGAAATTTGTCAAGGTAAAAAGTAGGTCATTGGGGATATACACCAATGTCAAAAGAAAATATGTCATTGATGACCTATACCAATGTTATAGAAAAGTATGTCATTTATAACCACCACTAATGTCATAGAAAAACTGATAGTTTTTTTTTACCTCCACGAATGTTATAGAAAAGTATGTCAATAATGACCTATACCAATATTGTAGGAAAAGTATGTCATTAATGACCTATACCAATGCCATAGAAAAGTATGTTATTAATGACCTACACCAATGTTGTAGGAAAAGTATGTCATTAATGACCTATACCAATGTTGTAGGAAAAGTATGTCATTAATGACCTATACCAGGGGTCTCCAAACTACGGCCCGCGGGCCGCATGCGGCCCGCGATGTCCTCTCATCCGGCCCACGGAGATCTTTTTGTCCACGGAAAAAACGTTTGTTGGTGAGGGCCGAGGAACGTTACCCAGAAAAATTAAAGACATTCCTGGAAGAAACTGGCCCCCGAACTGAAATTTGATAGTTAATGCGGCCCTCGGACTGAAAAGTTTGGAGACCCCTGACCTATACCAATGCCATAGAAAAGTATGTCATTAATGACCTATACCAATGTCATAGAAAAGTATGTCATTAATGACCTACACCAATGTTGTGGGAAAAGTTTGTCATTAATGACCTATACCAATGTAGGAAAAGTGGATGGACAAGCTTTCTGATAGGGAAATGGAGTATCTAAAATGTGATCAATAGCACCAATCTCTCTTATTTTTATAGGAATTCTTTGTTTTCCATGCTGCCCACATGATTAGAAAATAAATACTTTGCATCAAACAGTATGTTTAAAACATTTCTTCAACTTCAATCTATTCACAATCTAAAATGAATGCAGTCAGATGTGTCAGGCCCTGGAGCAAAACTTCAGAAATGATCTAGTATAAGGTTCATGAGTTTCTACATCTTGCAAGAAGTCAGGGGTCTTAAATTTTTCAGCCTAAGGGCAGCATTAACTATCAAATATCAGTTTGGGGCAGACAACACACTTGAGGTCTGAGTTGAAACTGCAGCTGGAGGTCTTTCATGAGCTCGCATGCAAATGATGAGAGGAACTCAGCTGTTGCTTCAGCCATGAAGACCTAGCACTGCTGAAAGTGCATCGAGTTGTTGGCTTGTACTTGTTCCAAAAACAAGACAAGTTTGGATCTGAAGGCCTTAAGGCTTTAGGTGGGTGTATAGAACGGAAACTAGATTTTCCTCTCCTTGTAGTTTTAGGTTCAGAAAATTTAAATGACTAGTTATTTCTGCAGCAAAGGCTTATTTTCATACCCACTCTTCATAGGACATTAATGGCTGTGGCTTGCCTTTACTTTCCAGGAAGTCACTTATTTCCTTTCTTAAAAATTTTCTGCTCAAAAATTTCTCGCAACTTAGCCATTTTACTGCTGATTAATATGGTAAATCTTGCAATTCTGTGACTGTATCTTTCAACATGTCTCTGAATGGTCTATTGTTGAGCCTATGTGACCATATTAACATTTAACCACAAGATTCATTACACTGCTCATGTCTATTGTTGAGCCCATGTGATCATATTAACATATTTAACCACAAGATTCAGTACACTGCTTATGTCTACATATTAAGCTTGCTGGTTAATAATTCAGTGTAGGAACATTTGTTGTAGAATGTTTTTCTCATTACACATCTATTTCACTTGTCCAACCAAGCTTTTCTTTATGCCACCCCTGTTCTTTCCTCCATCAACAGTCAGGCAACTGAGGAAATAGTCCAGTCCAAGTAATAATCAACAAATATTTTTTTTTAACTTGTTGAACATACATGTCAGGTAACAGTGCCATACATGTTATGTAGGAAAGTGAGCTCTTGTGTTATGTTCATGTCTTCATCCACACCTCTAATGAGCAGTTGAGAGGTGGAGCAGCTGTCCAGCGATTCAAAATTGATAACGGCGAAACTTGTTTGAATTATTTTTTTTGCTATTTGAGTCCCAATGTTTTCACCAATGTCTGTAGCACTGCAGGCCATAGTATTTGTACCCCAAGTTACACTTTCAAATTGTTTTCACTTTTCTGGGCAAAATTACCCAGCGAACTCCAACAAACATTTTTTTTTGTGGACAAAAAGATCTCCACGGCCGGATAAGAGGGCCTCTCAGGCCATAGTTTGGAGACCCAAGAACTAAGTAATAGACTATGTAAGGTTTTTAAATTCTTAACAGATATAACATTTTTAATTGGAAAGTTCCTCTGATCTAAAAAAAATAATGAAAGTTAAAGGTCTCTATATTTAATAAATATAATAACTCCACATCTTGATCAAACACATAAACTAACCTTATATATTAATGAACAAAGACTCCAATGCTAGACAACTAAATACCACAGGTTGAATACACTCACAAAAAACAAAGCTTAGGTTTATTTGACTTAGTTGTCAAAGAAAGATGGCTCAGAGCCAAGAGAGAAATCCTGTTATTTTCAAGTGTCACTGTCCTGCACTTAAATCTCACAATAACATGTACACACTAGAAAATGTCCATAAAATAAAGATTTTATCAGCCTGAATACAGTAGACAAGGCTTCAGACATGTGAAATACATAATTTGTTTCCTAATGCTTTAGTAATTGATACTAATGAAATGTCCACCCTCTGTGGATATTTAAACTATGATAGTGTATGGTTTTCAATTATGTTTTCCTTGAAGGGTTTGTACACAGCATCAGAAAAACAAGTTTAAACTGAAAATTAGGTAACTTTTGTGGTGGGATCCAATATATGTTCCGGACAACTCAGGCGTTATTTGTACCGACCTAATGTAATGCTATCTGTACAAACCTAATGTAATGCTAACAAACCTAATGTAATGCTAACAAACCTAATGTAATGCTATCTGTACAAACCTAATGTAATGCTATCTGTACAAACCTAATGTAATGCTATCTGTACAAACCTAATGTAATGCTATCTGTACAAACCTAATGTAATGCTATCTGTACAAACCTAATGTAATGCTATCTGTACAAACCTAATGTAATGCTAACAAACCTAATGTAATGCTATCTGTACAAACCTAATGTAATGCTATCTGTACAAACCTAATGTAATGCTATCTGTACAAACCTACTGTAATGCTAACAAACCTAATGTAATGCTATCTGTACAAACCTAATGTAATGCTAACAAACCTAATGTAATGCTATCTGTACAAACCTAATGTAATGCTATCTGTACAAACCTAATGTAATGCTATCTGTACAAACCTACTGTAATGCTAACAAACCTAATGTAATGCTATCTGTAAAAACCTAATGTAATGCTAACAAACCTAATGTAATGCTAACAAACCTAATGTAATGCTATCTGTACAGACCTAATGTAATGCTATCTGTACAAACCTAATGTAATGCTATCTGTACAAACCTACTGTAATGCTAACAAACCTAATGTAATGCTATCTGTAAAAACCTAATGTAATGCTAACAAACCTAATGTAATGCTATCTGTACAAACCTAATGTAATGCTAACAAACCTACTGTAATGCTATCTGTACAAACCTAATGTAATGCTATCTGTACAAACCTACTGTAATGCTAACAAACCTAATGTAATGCTATCTGTACAAACCTAATGTAATGCTATCTGTACAAACCTAATGTAATGCTAATAAACCTAATGTAATGCTATCTGTACAAACCTAATGTAATGCTATCTGTACAAACCTACTGTAATGCTAACAAACCTAATGTAATGCTATCTGTACAAACCTAATGTAATGCTATCTGTACAAACCTAATGTAATGCTAACAAACCTAATGTAATGCTATCTGTACAAACCTAATGTAATGCTATCTGTACAAACCTACTGTAATGCTAACAAACCTAATGTAATGCTATCTGTACAAACCTAATGTAATGCTATCTGTACAAACCTAATGTAATGCTAACAAACCTAATGTAATGCTATCTGCTACAAACCTAATGTAATGCTATCTGTAAAAACCTAATGTAATGCTAACAAACCTAATGTAATGCTATCTGTAAAAACCTAATGTAATGCTAACAAACCTAATGTAATGCTATCTGTACAAACCTACTGTAATGCTAACAAACCTAATGTAATGCTATCTGTACAAACCTAATGTAATGCTAACAAACCTAATGTAATGCTATCTGTACAAACCTAATGTAATGCTAACAAACCTAATGTAATGCTATCTGTACAAACCTAATGTAATGCTAACAAACCTAATGTAATGCTATCTGTACAAACCTAATGTAATGCTAAAAAACCTAATGTAATGCTATCTGTACAAACCTACTGTAATGCTAACAAACCTAATGTAATGCTATCTGTACAAACCTAATGTAATGCTATCTGTACAAACCTAATGTAATGCTAAAAAACCTAATGTAATGCTATCTGTACAAACCTAATGTAATGCTATCTGCTACAAACCTAATGTAATGCTATCTGTACAAACCTAATGTAATGCTATCTGGTACAAACCTTTTCACCTTTAGTGTTAACAGATGATCAGTAGTTCATTCATGCTTACAGCAGCATGTACACTAGATATTTCTTCATTCATTAGCATAGTTAGACCAACACCATCAAATCACAAGTAGTTACCTTATTCATGTGACCAGCAAACCAGCCATGATATTAGCAGACCAGGGGGGTGTTTTCTCAAAATTTAGTTATACTCAACTGGTTAAGTCAATAAAAATATATCTTCAATTTGTTATATAATTTCAATACACACAAAACATGAATAAATAATTGTTTACTTTGGTCATAGCCTTTAAAAGCAGTAAACGGCAATTAACGTTTCTTCCAAAATAGTTTTTATATATATATTTAGAATATATTAAAATTTAATAATTTGTTAAATCTGTGCCTGCACCCTTCACTCCCAACACATATTATATAAATATATATATATATATATATATATATATATATATATATATATATATATATATATATATATATATATATATATATATATATATATATATATATATATATATATGAGAAAAATGGCCCATTGAGGAAGGATACAACGGCCGCTAGGTTGATAGTGTTGTCTCTTTTTCTCTAAACCAAAACCAAAGCCACCACCTTAACTTCAAATTGAACTGGAAACGACAAATTACTTTGAAAACGGATTTTTATCAAGAATCGTCAATTTAATCGGATTTAAGCTTGATCAACACTTAGTTACCACGCATTGATACTAAATATAGTTGTAGCCACATCCCTAAACCATGCACCTAATCTCAATCATGACAGAAGTCGCATTTAGAGTTTCTTTCAGGCGACTCTACTTGGGGATAGGGGGCTCGCCCTCCCCCCACACCCCAAAGCACGTCTATTGTCCCATTCAACGAAATATAATAATATACATTTTCCAGTTTCCGCCCACTCCCAGAAAATTCCACCCCTGCCCCTGAAAATTTTCAAGTACCCCCCCTCCCTCTCCGGGGAGGAAAAAGTCTGAAAGAAACACTGGTCGCATTTGTAGATCATATAAACTAACGGTAGAAACTGTGCACACATGGCACTTTTTATATTAGAAAATTTAAAGTTCCCCTCTCCTCTGAGGAAAAAGTATGAACTAAACACTGGTGTCGCGCTTAGCCACTACCCAAAGAATTCTATGAAAGACACTCTAAATGCAAAACACTTTTAAGTCTATACACATTTATTATGCCGTAATGTCAGTCTTTTTATTATAGGGTATCGATGACATCATATCTATTGAGTAGGGGGTGGGGGGAGGTGGCTTAGATGTTCTACCGGGGGAGGGCTTAGCCCGTACCCGAAGAATTGTATGAAAGACAACATTGGCTTTTTAATTCAATATTTACTCAAGAATCAATGACGTCATATTATTGTGTGCACTCTCCGGCTTGATACTATTATCTACTATACTCTCAATGTGACATCATGTTTCGTTTCCATTTTATGAAAGTTTGTATTTTGCTTGTATTTTCTCTAGTGTTCTTGTCAGATACATAGATACATACATAGACAGACAGCGAAACTATTATTATAGATATGTACAAGCATAAACGTTGTACGTTGCTGCAATCTAACGCTACACACCAAATGGATGAAACTTTTTATGAGGGTGTCATCAACCTATTACATACCATGTAGTTATAGACATGTGAACTTGTTTTCTCAAGCTGATTTATTTAAATGTAAACAAAGCTGGCACTATATTTTGTTGGTTCTCAGCTGTTGACGCTCTGATCAACAGACTCAGGTAGCTGCTGGGAAACTCGGGGCGTCCATCCGTACTCTACTGCTGGGGCACTGGATGAGGACTCTGGGTTGATTTAGTCAAGAATAATAATTGCCACAATATCCAAAGAGTATGGCTTTCTTTAAAAACAAAGGTGTGTTATGGTGCTCATGAAGGAGCCCATGATGCACAAGGTCATATGACTGTCGGGTGCTGTTCAATTCGTCATAGATTTTAGTAGTCATTAATGTCCTTAAAGGTGCTATTTAAAATGAATGTAGGTGACAGTGCTTGTATGATAGCCTGGGGTGCCCTGGGTCATCTGGGATGCTGGCTGATGTGCCTGGTGGTTTGACCATTGAATTAAGTTGTATACCTAAGGCCTCTGCGGGAGACCCAATCAACTGATCCCAGATGCTGAGATAGTTGCTGGGGAACATTGCTCCAAAATTTTCCCTCATCTTTTTATTATCTCAAAAACCTCGCTAGGAGTATCCTCAACAACTTCCCAAAGTTTATTGCAATAGGATGAAAGGTGTAGTCATTCATAAAAGACAAACACACTCACACTATATATATATATATATATATATATATACACATCTCATTCCGCCAGGATGCGACTAAATGCGCCCTCCGGGGGTTCCGACGCGTCTGGCCACACCCCCTACTTTTCTTTTCAAATTGATAACAAAATCGCGCATGCCCAAGATTTATACCGAGAACCATGTTATAGCGAGATTCCGCGATATTTCAATTAGATTTATACAGAGAACCACGTTATAGCGAGATTCCGCGATATTTCAATTAAAAAAAAACCCGGAAGTTTCTATCTTGAGTGGTTTGTTTTCAAAGCGTGTTTTCATGAGAGTAGGAGTTTGAGATATTTTTCTGATTTTTATTGTGATTTTTACTGTGCTTTTGATTGATTTATTGACATGGCTTCTAAATTCCTTCAATCTATTATTGATGGAAATAAACAATTAAGTGATGTAGAAGAAGAAGGTTCCGATATTGATATGAATAATGGTGACTCTGAGTATGATTCTGACTTAGACGACGTTCCTTTAGTGATGAAGCCTGACACTGAATGGTCTGATCCGCTGTCTGCGCAGCAATCTACAGCTGCAACAAGGCCCCAAAACTTGCCTAGTATTGCTGGCATTGCAGAACCTTTCAGCCCCCAGCACAGGCAGAAAACACCGTTGTCATTAGTGTGCCATGGAAGGGGCAAAGATGCCCAGTGGCAGGACCAAAGAGACAACCAAAGGCTGCCACTTATGTCAGGTGTATCTGCATGCAGGACAGTGCTATACTGCTTACCATGAAAGCCTAAGATAAATTTTTGATGCATTAAATGCTAAAAGTACAACTTTTTTTTTTATTTTCCTTCATTTTATGCTGTTGTTTCATGTTGTTGTGTCTGTAAAGCTATATTTTTCTGAAAGCTAATCCATTTAATGATTTATGAGTACATTGGTAATTTTTAAATTTAAAATAATTAGTGTTTAGATAGTGAAATTAATTTTTTAAGAACATATATGTTATAAAATACGGAGCTACTTCCCTTTGTTCAGGAATGGGTTTGTGAACAGGGAGTCTGGGCTCAGGAGGGAATGAGATATATATAGACTAACGTGCCTGTACCCATGTTTGCCGCAGGGTTAGAATAAAAATCTGAAAATCTGACGGAATATTTGAATATTACTTTTGCCTTTAAGTAGGTATGTCAAACGGCCGTAAAAAACACTTCATAGTTTTTATGATAAAAAGGGCTGATATAGTAATAAGATTGGTACAATTAAAAAGTAGATTTTAAGCCCTCTAATTATGCGTAATTTTTATAGTTGATACCAAACAATATATCTGATTTACCGATTAAAACTATCACCAAGATGATTTTTCAACGGCAGTTGAGCAACAGATTTTGACCCCTCTCTCATTTAACTCGCTTGCTTTTTTTTTTTACCGTTCAATGTATTAATTGAATAGCCTTTAGTGGGATACTCAACAAAAACAAATGCATAATAGACTAAATATTTTAAATGTTAAAAAAAATATTTGAACATTAGCATGTGATTCTGACATCCTATACATTTTTTATTAGCATTTTCAGAAAGGTGGTCCTTTTTCCTGTTAAAGCACTCTAATTGTTTATCATTTCTGAGCATGGTCCAAAAAGGCCGAGCTCAACAGAACACACTATAGTGATCACTAAAATAACTCTAGAACTGGACGAAGAGTATGGCAGTTTTCTTTGCTAACAACGCACCACCAAGCTTTTCTAAATTGATGTTAGCAAGTGTTAGAGGCTTGATAGTTCAGTAAAAAAAAATAAAAACATGTAGCTACTTAATAAACAAATTTGTCAGTCTAGTTTTTATAGTTTGAAAAATTGAAAGTAGAAAAAGTTCCACTTCCGGTTATTGGAAATTGCTGAATAGTTGATACAGATCTACAAATTGGATAAAATACTTATATATGAAATTTCACCAACCTAGCTGTAACGGTACTCAAGTTATCGTGTTTACAGACACACACACACGGCCAAGATTGCAAAACTTTAAAAACTGAATTTACTAACAAACAACATCATCAATTCTAGAAGTATTGTGATATGCAACTTGTATCAATGTATAAAAATCATGTTTTTTGTACTTACGTTTATTTTATCATTTCTAGATCTATACAGTTTGAGTTTTTTCTTATTGTTTGAATGTTCGCTATTTTCATTTCAGATTTTCCTTCTTTAATTAGTAATTCTATCGTAAATTATGATAGTTTTTTTTTTTACTTCTCTTTACCTTAATTAAACCCCAACCTCCATCATATTTTTGTTGTCAATGTCACAAAAAGTCATAATGTAAAAAATTATGTTTCGTTCTGCCTTTATGTAAGATCTCCAGCCATAATTTTGACAAATATAAATGTTCTTTATAATTTTATATACAGAGAGACAAAATGTATTATCCACCAGCTTCCCACGTAAAACATCATCTAAAATTATCAGCCACTCCACCCTTTAAGTGGGTGTTGTCATTACCCCAAGTCTCCAATTTTCAGATACATTTTGGTTATCTTTTGTTGTCAAAATGTCAAGATCAAACACCCAAATGATGTCACATATGATTTGCTACAGGAGTGAGTGAAGATTTGTGACGTCCACTCAGGCGGCTCTGCAATTTATGACGTGTAGGTCTAATGAAAAGAGGTGAAAGGGGAAAAATACCTAGGTCATTGATGGAGAACCTCTATAACGCTGTTCAATCAAAATAATGATAAATAAGCATACGTATACCTTGCTCAAAACGAATCATCATAAATGTTGCAAGCCTGCTAGTTTGAGACTTTTGGCAAAACAGTCTCAACACATTATCCCTGTCAAAAAGGCTTGCCACCAAATGGCTGCTGACGAATTTGCCGCGTCTAATGCGGGGTGTTAGGAATATGGCCATCAGCATGGGGCCCGGGTCAGACAAAACAAACGGGGTCGTGTTAGAGCACCAATAGGCTATGGCACTTTGTAAGATGCCGTAAATACTGCAATTAAGAGCTGTGTATTTGCGCAGTTTCACGAAATTATTTCATGAAACTGCGCAAATACACAGCTCTTAATTTTCTAATATCACTTTCAATGTATCAAGATTCAGATCTATAATTTACTTAAACTTAAAACAAGTATCATCTTATCGTTTGTTGTGCTTTTTATAAAGTGCAGAACAGCTTCGAAATTGGACGGCCATCCTCTTGTCACCAAGCTTCTTTTGGAGCTAAATGGGTAGTCTAGTTCTATACGATGGAAGCTTAATACATTTTTAAAGGGCTCACAGTCTCAAATCAGCAAGCTTGCAGAAATAACCATTTATGTTTAAAATAAATGGACGAGTGATGGTTGGGAGAGGGGCTGTTTAATTGAACACCAACATAAGTAATCATATTAAACGTCGCATAAGTGTCAAAACGGCAGTGCTTTTTTTCCTTTTCTAATAATTAGCCTACCGGTACATGACGTCATGCGCGAGCATTAACTCTGTGACAATGTGCTAAGTGGGGGATGAAAGGGTGGGGTTCAAGAAATGCGACTCAGCATGCTTTTTACATTTCTTGACCCTTATTAATAGTTCTATCATCTATCGTTCTATGGATCACCAATGAATGACGAGTCATACTTCTACAGCTGGTCTTTCTCCCTCAACAATCCCCTGTTTTCAACATAATTAAATCTGAAAAGGTCTATTAGTCATTCATTTCAACTATACTGAAAAAAAAAAGAAAAATTACTAGGCAGGCATATAATATTAAAATAATACAAAACCATATTAAACCACAAAAATAAACACAACATACATGCAAATAGACAATTTTTCAAGGGAAACTACTCTATTATTGTTTTTGAAACATGGCCGCTGCTTGTATTTACTCATTGTTGTCTCGAACAGGTTAGTTTAAAGTTTATTCCAGGATATTTTTGACTGGTTTGGTCATGGATTGTGATTTATTATTCAATTATCTGTTATGTAAAATATAGGGCCTATCATATAGGCCTATATGGCCAAATGAATGAAATATTTATTAGTTACCTCCACCGTACATTACTAGTTTTGTTGGATATTATGACGCTAAACTAAGGTTTTACCCAATATTTAATTAAGGCCAAGGCTATTCATAGTCAGCTGGAAATAGTCCCACTACATAGGCCCCGAAAAGTGAAAGTATCAAATTTTAAATTCCATGCAATCTAGAAAAAATTGTGACGATTTCCAGCGACTTTATTCCTAGTCTAGTACAATCGCCATCTGGGGCCTAATACTAATTCAATTATAAATCTAGTAGGCCTAACACCACAAGGTTTCACAGTACCCTCTATTAATACTATTATATTCTAGAGAAAACTAGATTCCAGATTTAGAAAAGATCTAGAAATCTAGATCTAGATCTTCTTACTTATATAGCACTAAAGACACTTAAGTTCTTAGGTCTAGAGTAACATTACCAGCCCCGGACACCCTTAGCCCGATACGGAGACTCCTTTCCGGTTCGAGACACCTAATTTCGTTACTATTTGACATAGAATGAAAACCAAAGCATAGAAATACTCTCCATCCAAAGAAGAATAAAAATATGTATTCCCTTTTTTTCCATTCGCAATATAACTTTTAAATATATGCCCCCGAAACAGACGACCCAGTAGCCCTGGACCCGACTACAATTTTCCCGGTTTTGCCTCCAAACGACTGGTCTTTCCTCCATCCGACTAAGTCATATTTTTGCTGTTTTTTCAGCTCAGTTGAATAAATAATCTTGTACTATTAATATTTTATGTGTTTAGTTTTGTGTTTCAGTGTGTATTTGATTTTAAATGCCAAAAATAATATAATTTATAACAATGGAAAAAAAAAATAGGGGAGATAACTCTTCCCAATAAAATGCTTGTGTTATGGTTTACTATGGGTATCGTTTCCAGGCAAAACACGTAAATTTTCATCCTCCTTACGACTACCCCCAAAAAAATGTATTTAGTAAAGAAAATAGCATTTTCTATAAACATATATGTTCTGTAGCCTATCCCATTCAATTTCAGTTCATTTTTTCTGAAAAAAAAATAAACGTTTTAAAAAGACGCTAAGTCGGGAGGAAGCTTTGCTTGTCCCGGCAACATAAAAATGGCCGCCTACATGACGGGTTGCTTTTAATTGCTCATATCCCACTGTGGGTAATTCAATGGATCAAAGTTTGATATAAATTAGGGATTTTGGTAAAAAAACACTAATCATAATATAAAAATAAAAATTAGATATTCTTGTAGAGCTCAACTATATGAAAACAAAACAAAAAAGATTTTCTGTCTAGCTCAAATAGTTTTTTTTTAGCGAATTTTTTTGTGAGGGGTGGAATCCCCTTGCTTTTGCATTGGCCAATTGTGACAAGTGATGGTATACCTGAATAAATTGAGCATAGTTATTTTACTTGTAGTTGTATTTTGTTCATATTTGCAGAGTTTAACTAGAATGATATATAGAACTTGTAAATGCTATTGAAATGAATAAAAATAATACAGAACTTATATTTTTGTGTTGGCTTCCTCCCATAACCCCAAAAAACTGTGTGCTGCGCAAATATGAAAATGTTTCTAAAGCCATATTTTATATAAATACAGCAAATGAAAGAACTACAAAGTTAGAAATCTAAAGTAAATGACTTGAACACTGTTATGTGCATATAATTGCCTCATTATTTTGGGCAGGTGAAGTAGAGTCCATCTTTAAGCCATTTTGTTATAAAACTGCTGCACAAATATGAAAATGTTTCTAAACCAATATTTTATATAAATACAGTGAATGAAAGAACTCCATAGTCAGAAATCTAAAGTAAATGACTTGAACACTGTAATGTGTCTATAACTGCCTTGTTTTTTTGGGCAGGTGAAGTAGAGTCCATATAAAAGCCATTTTGTAATAAAATTTGAAGTTATCAGATCAATGTTTTTATGTGTGAATTGTGTATGGATTCTGATTTTCAGCATATAACTATATCTAAGGGTAAGTAGAACTTGAATACTTAAAATTACAGTTAGCACAATGCCAGTGTATAGCAACAGACAGGTAACCTAGATCTAGGTCTGAATCTTGTCAGTCTAGTCTGACAAAATTGGATTTTAGGAAAAACATATTCTGCAAAACTAGAACTAGAGCTGAAAAAATTAAAGATGGGTATGTAAATATATTTTTAAATAAAAAAAATTAGGAGATTTGTTTGCACATGCCATAAGAATGCTGTTATTAGTTGATCTAACTTAAAGGCCGGAAGATCGGGATGAAAAAATATAACAATGGTGGCAGCGTGACCTACATACAGTGACTTTGTTCGGAGCAGTATAACTAATGTCGGAGTCAAAATATCCAAAAACAAATTTCATTTCCACATACTTAAGATATGTCTGATCAGTAATCTACTCTCACCTAGAATAATCTTTTAAAAAATCGTGATTCCAACGTAATTGAAACTAGCCTTCATACAGGGGGAAGACCAAAGCAGAGACAGCGTGCGATCAGATCGCTAAGCCATCAAAACAATGGGAAAACCATTCTACTTTTCATTTAACATTAGGAAATGACCTTTTAAACTTAATTAATTACCATAAATTAAAAACTTATTAGTACGCAAAACCAAATCTCGTGCGCCCGGTATCAGAAAGTAATGGGCGATTTCGGGTCATGTTTTTACCGCGATCTCGGCCGATACCGATAACCCTAATATAAATGGACTTATAAATGGACATATTTGCTACCAATTATAATGTTTCTGTATAAAATATTCAAATAACAGTGCAATTAGTATTCAAAGTGAGAGTTACGGAGTTGTTCGTTTCGAGGCACATAGTCGGGCCAGGCAGAGTTACTCATAGATCTAACTAGATTTAGAATTTAGATCTAGATCTAGATCTGTAATGATTGTATGCCTGGAGTTTCCGCAAAAAAGCGAGGACAGTGTGTGTATGTCTATACTACTAGAATCTATACTGTTAGTAAATTCAAACTGTTACATGTACTCTAGAATCTAGTCTAGATTCTAGAAGATCTATTCAATTCACATTGTGATTGTGCTTGAATGTTGATTTTAGAATAGATCAAGATCTAACTAATCTATCTAAAATCTAGATTCTAGATCTAGATTAGATCTAAGAATCTAAGATCTAGACTAGATCTAGTGACTAGCTAGATCCTAGGTCACTTTCTAGATTTACACTTTACACACATTAGGAGTCATTAGTCACTCATAGTGTACACTTTTAAAAAAAAAGCTTTTAAACAATCTAGAATCAAGGAATTGTGCGTTTATCTTACCTGATTCTTAATAACGCTTAGGCCTAGCCTATTTCATCCCTAATCAGTTTTCATATTCATTCATCTACGGTTTGAATGAGTCACACAGATGCAATCCCCCATGTCGCTGCAGGTAAAAATTAAAACACTCTTTCGTTTCCGCGAGAGGGCGCTGCTAGATCTAAGAATAGGCCAAGTATAAATGTTTACGTTTTTTATGCCTAAGTGTTTTATTTCCTTTACGCTCAGAAATCTAGATTCCAGATCTAGATATCTTGACTAGATTAGATTTGTATTTAAGATATAGATCTAGATCTAGATCTACTTTAAATAATATTTAAAATCTGTTCCAATTTTAACCATCTTGTAGGCCTATGCTAGAATCTAGATTTAATAGATCTACTAAATATACTTATACTTATTTATTTATACTGTACTAGATCTAAACTTTATTTTAAAACCCTGGAGAATTCTACTCGCCCCTGCAAAAACTTCTAGTGCCCCTACCCCCACCCCCGGAAAAAAAGTCTGAAAGAAACACTGTCTGCGTGATTGAGGCTTAGCGGCTAAAATTAGTAAACGGGTCTAGATTATAGAAGTAGGATATACCTTTAATCTTAATGGTTTACAAATACACTTGTGTTTCTTTCAGACTTTTACACAACGAAAGGGGGGGGGGGGGGCATTTTAAAGGATTGTAGGAAAAAAAGTCACAGGAAAAAAAAACACAGGAAAAAAAAAACACAGAAAAAAAGTCACAGGAAAAAAAGTCACAGGAAAAAAAGTCACAGGAAAAAAGTCACAAATTGATATTTGTTAATACTTTTATTTATTAAATATTTAGAGAGTGCAAATTAACTTAGGATTAATTAAATGCAATGTAATGTGTGTAGGCTGTATACGCATAGGAATTTTTATAATTCATCTAAAAATATTTATTATGAAGTATGTAGATTGTAATTATGTTAAACTTAAGATTAGTAGCATTTAATAGAATGCTCCAAAGTCCACGGTTTTCATCGTGTTTTTTTTTTTAATTACCAATATTAAATTACTGTGAAATGGTAAGTTCATCTGACTTGCTGCCCTCAACTCATGTCAACAATAGTTATGTTTAGTTCAACCACCTTTACTGCCCACATTTATCACGCTCATTACATAACAAAACTTAGGATCACAACAGAAAGCCGACAAGGTTCAAAGGCTGTCATTGACGCGTAACGTCAACAACACAAAATATGTTCGGACAATGCCTACTGAGGAGAGGCCGACCAGAGAATAGCCTACGGCAAAATTTGCCTAAATTTCTTTTATAATTAACTTTTCTACCGCGTATTTAACTAAATACGTAACAAGTTGAGATTGTTGTGTAAATTATCTTAGAGTATTTTTACTTACAATTGTTATAAATCATAATGCTTTTAACGTCTATAAATAATTTATGCTATAAAAAATTACAACCCACAACAATAAACATACACAATTTTACAATTCTTAACAAATTAATAAAAATATTTCTAAAAAGATTTTTGTGACTTTTTTTCTGTGACTTTATTTCTGTGACTTTTTTTCCGATAAAATTTTTCCACTGTGAATTTTTTTCTGTGACTTTTTTTCCTAGCAAAAACTGTGACTTTTTTTCTGTGTTTTTTTTTTTCCTGTGACTTTTTTTCCGTTTACCTTTTAAAGTTGCGGGGGGAGAGGGACTAAATTTTTCTAAGATGAACTCTCCCAAAATAATAAATGGGTTTCTGATTGATCTTGCTTAGCCTATAAAATACGACCAGTAATTTATATTACATAAGGATAGCTTCTTTGTCAGCTCTGCAAATTATAGTGGACTGACCATAAACGTTCTCGATTAAAACACTACGGGGGATGGCTACTCGGGATATAGTCATGATTTTTACAAGCTTTTATTTAACTCACTTCCTCTGTCGTCAGTCTGTCGACAGTCTGTCTAGATAGAAACGCAGGAGTGAAAATTCGGACAGTTCTACTTGACCGACACGATTCACAGTTGGCACGTGGGTCAAGACATGAAGACAATGCAATCTGAAACTAAATTTGACTTAATTGGATGCCCAGGGGCGTAGCGAGGGGGGGGGGGCGGGGGGTGCGGACCGCACCGGGTGACACCATTTAGGGGGGTGACACCAAGGCAAAAAATAGCAAAATATATAGAGAAAAACTCGAGGGGGGGGTGCAAATCGAAAGTTTGAGGGGGGGGGGGTGCAAATCGAAAATTTGAAAGTTTGTCCCTGGGAAGGGTCTCTATGCCTCTGGGGGGGTGACACCATTAAGTGCCGCACCGGGTGACACCCGACCTCGCTACGCCACTGTGGATGCCTAATTGATTTTTTATGAATTAATTAAAATTTGGACCGAATTAGTAGGCATGTCTAGCCAACCACACCACACGCGTCATCAATAGCTGCGCCATCACGACCACGTAATGGCTGCGTTCAAAAACCATTGCGCGCCTACTGAACGTGATGTTCAGTAGGCGAGCAATGGTTTTTAGTCATGTAACTCTATTGTAAATAAAACATGTAAAGTACTGAAAAAAAATTCATAAAAAACGTTTTAATAACAAGCTTTTATGTAATGATGCACTAAAAAGTAGAAAATAAATTATAGACTACTATTTAAATAACTATAAAGAAAAGCGTGGGTGTCTTCCTTAACATTAGTAAAGGTATCCAATATATACTAAAGTGACCCACGCTTTTCTTTATAGTTATTTAAATAGTAGTCTATAATTTATTTTCTACTTTTTAGTGCATCATTACATAAAAGCTTGTTATTAAAACGTTTTTTATGAATTTTTTTTTCAGTACTTTACATGTTTTATTTACAATAGAGTTACATGACTAAAAACCATTGCGCGCCTACTGAACATCACGTTCAGTAGGCGCGCAATGGTTTTTGAACGCAGCCATTACGTGATGGCGCAGCTATTGAAGGTGATGACGCGTGTGGTGCGGTTGGCTAGACATGCCTACTAATTCGGTCCAAATTTTTATTAATTCATAAAAAATTAATTAGGCATCCAATTAAGTCAAATTTAGTTTCAGATTGCATTGTCTTCATGTCTTGACCCACGTGCCAACTGTGAATCGTATCGGTCAAGTAGAACTGTCCGAATTTTCACTCCTGCGTTTCCGTCTAGACAGACAGACAGACTGTCGAGGAAGTGAGTTAAATAAAAGCTTGTAAAAAAAAAATTCATAAAAAACGTTTTAATAACAAGCTTTTATGTAATGATGCACTAAAAAGTAGAAAATAAATTATAGACTACTATTTAAATAACTATAAAGAAAAGCGTGGGTGTCTTCCTTAACATTAGTAAAGGTATCCAATAGATACTAAAGTGACCCACGCTTTTCTTTATAGTTATTTAAATAGTAGTCTATAATTTATTTTCTACTTTTTAGTGCATCATTACATAAAAGCTTGTTATTAAAACGTTTTTTATGAATTTTTTACAAGCTTTTATTTAACTCACTTCCTCGTCAGTCTGTCTAGACGGAAACGCAGGAGTGAAAATTCGGAAACTTCTACTTGACCGACACGATTCACAGTTGGCACGTGGGTCAAGACATGAAGACAATGCAATCTGAAACTAAATTTGACTTAATTGGATGCCTAATTAATTTTTTATTAATTAATTAAAATTTGGACCGAATTAGTAGGCATGTCTAGCCAACCACACCACACGCGTCATCACCTTCAATAGCTGCGCCATCACGTAATGGCTGCGTTCAAAAACCATTGTGCGCCTACTGAACGTGATGTTCAGAAGGCGCGCAATGGTTTTTAGTCATGTAACTCTATTGTAAATAAAACATGTAAAGTACTGAAAAAAAAATTCATAAAAAACATTTTAATAACAAGCTTTTATGTAATGATGCACTAAAAAGTAGAAAATAAATTATAGACTACTATTTAAATAACTATAAAGAAAAGCGTGGGTCACTTTAGTATCTATTGGATACCTTTACTAATGTTAAGGAAGACACCCACGCTTTTCTTTATAGTTATTTAAATAGTAGTCTATAATTTATTTTCTACTTTTTAGTGCATCATTACATAAAAGCTTGTTATTAAAACGTTTTTTATGAATTTTTTTTATTACAAGCTTTTATTTAACTCACTTCCTCGACAGTCTGTCTGTCTGTCTAGACGGAAACGCAGGAGTGAAAATTCGGACAGTTCTACTTGACCGATACGATTCACAGTTGGCACGTGGGTCAAGACATGAAGACAATGCAATCTGAAACTAAATTTGACTTAATTGGATGCCTAATTAATTTTTTATGAATTAATAAAAATTTGGACCGAATTAGTAGGCATGTCTAGCCAACCGCACCACACGCGTCATCACCTTCAATAGCTGCGCCATCACGTAATGGCTGCGTTCAAAAACCATTGCGCGCCTACTGAACGTGATGTTCAGTAGGCGCGCAATGGTTTTTAGTCATGTAACTCTATTGTAAATAAAACATGTAAAGTACTGAAAAAAAAATTCATAAAAAACGTTTTAATAACAAGCTTTTATGTAATGATGCACTAAAAAGTAGAAAATAAATTATAGACTACTATTTAAATAACTATAAAGAAATTTATTTTCTACTTTTTAGTGCATCATTACATAAAAGCTTGTTATTAAAACGTTTTTTATGAATTTTTTTTAAATACTTAAACTTTTTAAAATATGATAGAATCTCGTAGAAAAATAATTGCGCACCAAGTAAATGCTTAATAATCTGTGTATAATAGTGCGAAATATTATTAGTACTTTAGAAATTTACATGCGGTTTTTTTTTTTTTAGAAATTTCTGTGTGCGCTTTTTTCTGTTTGTGCTTTTATCCATTGGCAATTTTTTTGCGCTTTTTTCGTTGTGCATCTTTCTGGTCACCGTTTTTCAGACTCATGGAAGTATAAAACGTCGAGCTTTGCAAAATTCTCGATTTTTTTTTTTTGCACGATTACAATACTTTCTCTATAGACTGATCTAGATCTAGATCTACTTCGTATACGAGAAAGTAAAAAGGTATGGAGAAATTTTTTCAAAATTTTGTTAACTGAATCAAATTTTCGTATATTTACGATTTTTCAAAGATAAGTTATAATCAAGCATGATTAAAATTAAAAGGACTGTAATTTGTAATATCAGGATAAAAAAGTAATAGAAGTTGTAATTGAATTTTCTTCTTATTCGCAATCTTTAAAAAGCCTAATAATACTAATATTTTTATTTCCATTAAAAATAATTTAAACATACTCATACCTTAACATGTTTGTTAGACAAAAGCGTCGCTAATTGAGCTTTGTTAGTTGATGCGATATGGCGCTCGTATTTATACATCATATAAATATTCATGATTGTTCCACTTCGGGTGGTTTGAGATATTCTTTGTTTTCTTTCATATTCCGTAGAAGAGGTTTTCTAAAAGATATATCGTCTCTTTTAATTGCATCTGCCAAATAGATGCAGTCCTTTCTCTGTTTCCTGATGCATTTAGACTAGTTTATATTTCACATGTTTATGCGGATATCCAAGCTTCAGTCGCTTTGCTAATACTTAGAGAGTGCACCTAATACAAACGCTAAGCGTGTATAAATTATTTTGCTAAATCCCCATCAGTTGACCATTTGTTTCCTATCTTGGAATACTTGCATATTTTCACTAGCCTTTGTTTACTTTTTGATTTCCAGCTAACACACATATGGTCCCCGAAAAATGCGCAGCGAAAAAATGGGCAAACATGAAAAAGCACAAACAGAAATTTGCGCACACAGAAAACATCCACATAAAAATTTGCGCACACAGAAAACTTCACACAGATCGCTCACCAATGAGGATTAAGGCAATGTACGTGTGTTGTGTGCGTGCATGTTAGAGTTTGCACGTGCCTATGTACAGACATATTTCATTTCAACGTCTGTATATTTTTATTTAATAATAAATGCGACATCATTTTCTAAAATAAATAGAATAACAAATTCCTCAGATTTTCCAATTATAGATGTTTTTGAACAAAGGTGCTAAGCCCACATGTTGTTTGACCACAGCCAAGGGTTGTCCACAGGCAGTTTGTTCACAGCGGGTGTTGATCACAGGTTATTTGACCAGTGGTGATTTGCATAACGAACTAAGCCTACATTTATAGCTACATCAACACACATTGGCTATCTGTTTGTCCATACATGTACTAACTACTGCAAATTCTATTGTAATAACCAACAGAGATGTACAAATTGCACGCACAAATATCAGTACCTCCATTTGAACATAAGAAAAAATAAGCAGGATGGACGGATGGTTAGCTCATGTAATAACTTGCAGGGAACGCCACTAATGCGTGACTTCAGTGTACTAGTACTACTAGAGACAGCAGTCTATGATGCAATTCTTGGTGGAAAAAATGTAGTTCATTCTGCTACACACCTTCAAGACTTTCGCCTAGGTACAGTGCCTGATTGACGCATAAAGTTACCAAACTCTTCCTTGGTACTCCTACTTTCTTAGCCCTCAGCCCCCCCCCCCCCCACCGTTTTTTTTATAACTGTAGCTTATATATATATATATATACACACAGAGAGAGAAAGATGAAGGACTGACGGACGCACGGAAAAACAGACAGGTCGGCTTAGGACGTCGAGTAGTCGCACAAACCACGTTTGGTCGACAGTCGGTGTAGGTGTAGTCGCACAAACCACATTTGGTCCTATCATCTGTGATTACACAGCCCTGGTTTACAAATTGCCAGTGGACAACTCTTCGCTGTTGTCAAACAACGTGTGGGCCAATCATCTATGTATGAATGATCGGAAAATATTAGCAATTTATGTTTCTATGCATTTTACTAATTTTAGAAAGAACGGTGGCATTTTAAAATTAAATATAGAGAAATGAGAATGAAATATATGTCTATGTATACACACATTGTCACACTCATAAATGATGAAAAATCTGTGTCATTTTTTCTGTGTACGTAATTTTCTGTTTGCGCAACTTTTATGCGTGCGCATTTTTCTCTGTTCGCAATTTTGTTTGCGCATTTCACCATTGCGAATCTTTCTGATCACCAGTTTGCATGTTTACGCTTTTTTCATGTATGTTGTTACAATACATACTATAACTGCTTCCAGAAGCTCAATCGGAAGATGACTATCAAGTCATAAGACTTAAATGTGTTCTCAATACTGATATTTTCCATTTCTAATGCATCAGAGCAACCATTATAATTAACGCTTATCACTTTTAAAATGTACACGCAAGAAATACCACCAGCTGAAAGTAATCTTCCTATATTGTAACCCACCTTGAAAAGAAGAGATACATAAATCTATAAAGCAGCTGAAAAATCGGAAGACTCGAGGAATAGATGGTATACCGGCAGACAGTTTCTTCCAGGCATCTCTTCGGGGGGGGGGGGGGGGGGGGGGGGCAACCCCCCCCCCGAAAGAAATTTACATAATTTATATAGAAAATATATACTTCTAACAGTGTCCGCCCCCCCCCCCCCCCCGGAGAAAAAAAAGTCTGGAAGAAACTGCCGGCAGAAGCACTGACAGCAGATATAGAAACTAGCACCACACTACTAAATACCAGAGGAGTTGAAGGAGGGACTACTCATAAAACTTCCAAAGAAAGGCAATCTTAGTGCATGCTCTAACTATAGAGGGATAACACTTTTGTCCATCCCAGGCAAAGTCTTCAACAGAATATTATTAAACAGGATGAAGGAAGCGATAGATCCGAAATCAACAGGCGAGCTTTAGAAAGGAAAGGTCATGCGCATCATCATTGAACAGACCCAAGAGTGGAACATCTCTCTATATTAATTTCGTAGATTACGAGAAGGCCTTTGATAGCATGGTTAGACATAATTGTCTTCATATGAAGGTCTGAAATGTAGAGTAGTGCTTGGCCAACAGACTTCGGAGGCCTTCTAAGTACTGACCGGAGTCAATGCATCGCACCCTTATAACATTGGCAGAAGAAGCCATAGAAGAAGTGGATTGATTCACCTACCTTGGAAGTATTGACAGTATTGTTGATAAGCAGGGTGGGACAGAAGCAGACATAAAAATAAGGACAAGGCAAGAGCAGTCTTGAACCAACTAAAAAATGTTTGGGGTTCTGGGGATTTAACACTTGGAATAAAAATTCAGATCTTCAACACGCTAGTAAAACCTGTTTTACTCTATGGAGCTGAGACATGGAGAATAACTGCTATAACTAAGAAGAAAATACAATCATTTATGACTTATAAACGCATGGCATGCCTCAGAAAGATCCTGCAAATTCGCTGACCAAAAATCCATCAGAAATGATGTTCTATGGCAACGGACAAATCAACTGCCAGTTGAAGTAGAGATCCTCCAGAGAAAATGGAAATGGATTGGCCACACACTCAGGAAGCCTGTATCCAGCATAACAAGACAGGCCCTCACCTGGAATCCACAGGGTAGGAGAGGCCGACCAAAAAAGACCTGACCTGGAAGAAAACACCAAGAAGATTGGATACACCTGGGGACAGTAGGTGAGACTAGCCCAGGACAGGATACACCTGGGGACAGTAGGTGAGACTAGCCCAGGAGGGGTGACAGGCAAACCTAACTTAATTTTAAAATAAAAATATCGATATAATTCAAACCCCAACACATTATCGACCATATTTCCCATGATTATCTCAAAAACTATTTAAGATATCGGCAAAATTGAATTTTACTACTACTGTGTGCTGAGGTGTTAAAATTATGAACGCAATCTTTATGGCCCTGAGGGGGTAAGAACCACAGCATTAGCTTTAAACCATATAATATAGATTTACACAGAAGCTTTAAAAATATGTGATGCATGCCCAACATATAAGTAAATCAAATGTGCATTTCAATTATTTGCTATATCATTATAAAATATTGATATTTTGTTTTAAATGTAGGCCTACCAATTTCGTTTATTGAAATGTTTGTAATTGTAGTACTACAATTTTGTTTGGACTGCCTTATTGAAATATTTATAAATGTAGGCCTACACATGTTAGAATGGTCAGACTGTAAACTATTGTGTCCAGGGTTTGTATCTCAGACTTGTCTGTAGACTGGGTATCTGTCACTGACCTGTAGACTGGGTATCTGCCACTGACCTGTAGACTGGGTATCTGCCACTGACCTGTAGACTGGGTATCTGTCACTGACCTGTAGACTGGGTATCTGTCACTGACCTGTAGACTGGGTATCTGTCACTGACCTGTAGACTGGGTATCTGCCACTGACCTGTAGACTGGGTATCTGCCACTGACCTGTAGACTGGGTATCTGCCACTGACCTGTAGACTGGGTATCTGTCACTGACCTGTAGACTGGGTATCTGCCACTGACCTGTAGACTGGGTATCTGCCACTGACCTGTAGACTGGGTATCTGTCACTGACCTGTAGACTGGGTATCTGCCACTGACCTGTAGACTGGGTATCTGTCACTGACAATAAAGTTGGCTGGATATAGAACTTACCTTACTATCCCTTTATGCATTGGCCACTGTAGTATGTGGTAAATTAACAAATAAAATGTGCCTCCCATTGATTCAATTGTTCAAATACTTCATTCAAGATTTATTTCATAAACAAGTTGAATAGCCAAATTTTGGGCTTTAGCTGAAACAATTTACTACAGACTCATTCAATGTTAGGTCACCCAACTGTCTAACAGTTTTATCAGACTCATTCAATGTTAGGTCACCCAACTGTCTAACAGTTTTATCAGACTCATTCAATGTTAGGTCACCCAACTGTCTAACAGTTTTATCAGACTCATTCAATGTTAGGTCACCCAACTGTCTAACAGTTTTATCAGACTCATTCAATGTTAGGTCACCCAACTGTCTAACAGTTTTATCAGACTCATTCAATGTTAGGTCACCCAACTGTCTAACAGTTTTATCAGACTCATTCAATGTTAGGTCACCCAACTGTCTAACAGTTTTATCAGACTCATTCAATGTTAGGTCACCCAACTGTCTAACAGTTTTATCAGACTCATTCAATGTTAGGTCACCCAACTGTCTAACAGTTTTATCAGACTCATTTAATGTTAGGTCAGCTATCTGACAACTGATAACTTAAATTCAATGTTTAGCTTCCATGAACATTGTTAACATAAAAGCTGGATGTGTGTAAGGCCAAAACAAACCTGTACACAGAAATCTGATGCCAGATTTAACATCAATCATACCAGATTCTACATACAGCCATTGAAATCTGATGCCAGATTTAACATCAATCATACCAGATTCTACATACAGCCATTAAAAGCAAGCTAGAATGCTAGATTGTATTATCAACAATTTAAATGCAGTTAGACAGCCGACAGGCAGTCTTTTGTGAAGTGTCCATTGTAATTTATATTGATGGTGTATTGGTCAGTTATATTTTGGTCTGTATTTGGGTGTGATGGTCTGTATTTGGGTGTGATGGTCAGTTATATTTTGGTCTGTATTTGGGTGTGATGGTCAGTTATATTTTGGTCTGTATTTGTGTGTGATGGTCAGTTACATTTTGGTCTGTATTTGTGTGTGATGGTCAGTTATATTTTGGTCTGTATTTGGGTGTGATGGTCTGTATTTGGGTGTGATGGTCAGTTATATTTTGGTCTGTATTTGGGTGTGATGGTCAGTTATATTTTGGTCTGTATGTGGGTGTGATGGTCAGTTATATTTTGGTCTGTATTTGGGTGTGATGGTCTGTATTTGGGTGTGATGGTCAGTTATATTTTGGTCTGTATTTGGGTGTGATGGTCTGTATTTGGGTGTGATGGTCAGTTATATTTTAGTCTGTATTTGGGTGTGATGGTCAGTTATATTTTGGTCTGTATTTGGGTGTGATGGTCAGTTATATTTTGGTCTGTATTTGTGTGTGATGGTCAGTTATATTTTAGTCTGTATTTGGGTGTGATGCAGTTATATTTTGGTCTGTATTTGTGTGTGATGGTCAGTTACATTTTGGTCTGTATTTGTGTGTGATGGTCAGTTATATTTTGGTCTGTATTTGTGTGTGATGGTCAGTTATATTTTAGTCTGTATTTGGGTGTGATGGTCAGTTATATTTTAGTCTGTATTTGGGTGTGATGGTCAGTTATATTTTAGTCTGTATTTGGGTGTGATGGTCAGTTATATTTTGGTCTGTATTTGGGTGTGATGGTCAGTTATATTTTGGTCTGTATTTGTGTGTGATGGTCAGTTATATTTTGGTCTGTATTTGTGTGTGATGGTCAGTTATATTTTAGTCTGTATTTGTGTGTGATGGTCAGTTATATTTTGGTCTGTATGTGGGTGTGATGGTCAGTTATATTTTAGTCTGTATTTGTGTGTGATGGTCAGTTATATTTTGGTATGTTGGTCATTAAGGTTAGTTACTAGCTGGTCTTATGTGTTGGTTAGGGTTAGTGATTTTCAAGTCTGTATAAAAAGGATTACTCAAACAAATATGGCAAGCAAGCAGAATAAATATCATTACTCAATGGGGTCAGGTTAATGCATGTCAACTCAATTGTCAACAAATCTTAGCTGTATGCTTTAGTACATACAAATTAAGCCAGAAACTATTACAAAAAAATCTTAAACAAGATATATAAATAAAAAAATCCAGCAACTCATGTTGGATAACAGTATCCAGCAAATCGTATTAGATGATAGTGTCCAGGAAATATGTTAAATGATAATATCTCATGACGGATGATAATATCCAGCAACCCATCTTTTACAAATCTGGATATTGCTTGTGACTGGACTGGTGGATTTCCACATGTCAAATGTTTAGCAGAACAATCAATAAAACTTGAGAGAAAAAATTAAAATACTGTATCAGATGGGAGACACAACACATGTCACTCAACATAATACTCATCAACATTTTCAAATATTCATGAATACACAAACAAAATTTCATCCATCCACTCCCAGTAACAGAGTGCTCTCAGTCAACCATTTGATCAGGACTTGTTCTATGCTCAACTGTCCAGGTTATGTTGGATCATCATTAGGTTGCCTACAAGAAAACAACATGAATGAATCATTACAAGATTACATTTAAAACTGATCCTAACCTCATCATGAATGAATACAAGATTATATTTAAAACTAATCCTAATCTCTTCATTAATAAATAAAAGATTATATTTAAAACTAATCCTAACCTCATCATGCATGAATGAATACAAGATTATATTTAAAACTAATCCTAATCTCATCATGAATGATTACATTAATTACAAGATTATATTTAAAACTAATCCTAATCTCATCATGAATAAATACATGATTATATTTAAAACTAATCCTAACCTCATCATGAATAAATACAAGATTATATTTAAAACTAATCATAATCTCATCATGAATGATTACAAGGAAACACTTCAAACTAATCCTTACCAAACTGGTGTAGGTTGCAATAACTAACCTGGCTTCTCTTTTCCTAATTCCAGGGTGGGGGAGGGGAGGTACAGGTGGTGGGCGTGCCAAGCCTCTGTTAGCCTCAAGTGCACCCGTAGCATACTTGATGTTTGTGTACTCTCTGCCGGCATTAGTCTGCTCAAAAGCAAAGTTTTAAAATTTCAACTTTATTTTCTTATTTCTTTGATTGTATATTTCATTCTTTCTTCTTGCACTTCAAGTAAACTTCAAATGTCTATATTTATTTGGCCTACACATTTTCTCTCTATTTACCTGGGCTAAAAGTTTTTCTATTTACATGGGCTAAAGTTTTTCTATTTACCTAGGCTAAAAGTTTTTCTATTTACCTGGGCTAAAAGTTTTTCTATTTACATGGGCTAAATTTTTTCTATTTACCTGGGCTAAAAGTTTTTCTTTCTACATGGGCTAAAAGTTTTTCTATTTACATGGGCTAAAGTTTTTCTATTTACCTGGGCTAAAAGTTTTTCTTTCTATATGGGCTAAAAGTTTCTCTATTTACATGGGCTAAAGTTTTTCTATTTACCTTAGCTAAAAGTTTTTCTTTCTACATGGGCTAAAAGTTTTTCTTTCTACATGGGCTAAAAGTTTCTCTATTTACATGGGCTAAATTTTTTCTATTTACATGGGCTAAATTTTTTCTATTTACCTGGGCTAAAAGTTTTTCTATTTATCTGGGCAAAAAGTTTTTTCTATTTACCTGTACTAAAAGTTTTTTTCTATTTACCTGTACTAAAAGTTTTTTTCTATTTACCTGTACTAAAAGATTTTTCTATTTACCTGTACAAAAAGTTTTTTTCTATTTACCTGGGCTAAAAGTTTTTTCTATTTACCTGTACTAAAAGTTTTTTTCTATTAACCTGTACTAAAAGTTTTTTTCTATTTACCTGTACTAAAAGATTTTTCTATTTACCTGTACTAAAAGTTTTTTTCTATTTACCTGTACTAAAAGTTTTTTCTATTTACCTGTACTAAAAGATTTTTCTATTTACCTGTACAAAAAGTTTTTTTCTATTTACCTGTACTAAAAGTTTTTTTCTATTTACCTGGGCTAAAAGTTTTTTCTATTTACCTGTACTAAAAGTTTTTTTCTATTTACCTGTACTAAAAGATTTTTCTATTTACCTGGGCTAAAAGTTTTTTCTATTTACCTGTACTAAAAGATTTTTCTATTTACCTGTGCTAAAAGTTTTTTCTATTTACCTGGGCTAAAAGTTTTTTCTATTTACCTGTACTAAAAGTTTTTTTCTATTTACCTGTACTAAAAGTTTTTTCTATTTACCTGTCCTGCAAGCTGGCGTTGTCTCTCTATCTCCATATATCTCTGTACTGCCAGATAAACAAACTGGTACTGACTTTGTGTTTGAACTAGCCCTGACCTTTGACCCCTGACCATTAGAATGGTTTTGAAGATATCAATATCACAATCGAAGCCTAGATGGAAAATTGACATGGCAATATCAAGGTTAAATAGGATAGTGACAAACCATGAACATGTGATTTAAACTTTTTCTTCTTCTTCTTTCTTAATTATTAGTGTTGAAGGGGATCGAGATTTCGACTCGACCACGCCTCCAACACAATTAAGCGGTACGTGTCAACTGGTTATGCGCCATTGAGGCCATTGACTTTGCTTCCATAGCCTTTGTCCAACCAAGAACAAACTACAAGGCAGCAGTTGTTTAATTTTGGAGTTGTCTCTCCTAGAAGAGTGGCTGTCCCCAGCTAACGAGCCTCATCTGCCCGAGGGTTCGAACTCGAGACTTTTCGGCTTAGCAACCATGAGCTTTACCGACTCGACCACGCCGACCCCAAACTTTTTCAATATCAAGGTTAAATAGGAGAGTGACAAACCATGAACATGTGATTTAAACTTTTTCAATATCCATGGATAAACAAATCTGGATATTATTCCACCCTGACCCAGATAGAAAATACAAATACATAGCCCCCCCCCTGATTTTGGAAGTGAATGTAGAGATACTTAAACATATACCTGAAAAGTAAAAAAATATAGTAGGCGTAAGTATCAGGATCAAGGTTGGGGTTATTAGGTGTTTTATTTCAAGATAAAATTCCTGATCCAGTTAAAATGCTGATTCTGGATAAAAATTCAATTACATTTTTCACATTCCGGTTAAATTTGTGGTTGAGGTGGTGATTGTGTTTTTGGTTTATAGAAAAAGACAACACTATCAACCTAGTGCCCTCAATGGACAATTTATCTAGTATATAGAGATGTCTTGTGTGAGAACAAGCAGACAGTCCTTTGGCAACGAAAGGTAGGAGGCATAAGGTTAAGTTTAATGGGTTGGCAAGGATAAACTAGGAGGCATTCGGTTAAGTTTAATGGGTTGGCAAGGATAAACTAGGAGGCATTCGGTTAAGTTTAATGGGTTGGCAAGGATAAACTAGGAGGCATTCGGTTAAGTTTAATGGGTTGGCAAGGATAAACTAGGAGGCATAAGGTTAAGTTTAATGGGTTGGCAAGGATAAACTAGGAGGCATTCGGTTAAGTTTAATGGGTTGGCAAGGATAAACTAGGAGGCATAAGGTTAAGTTTAATGGGTTGGCAAGGATAAACTAGGAGGCATACGGCTAAGTTTAATGGGTTGGCAAAGATAAGATTAGTGATACCTATCATTATGACTTGTAGCATTTTAAGGTGATAGGGATAGAGCAAGTAAAATTTTTTTAATAAAAAAAACAAGAACTGAGAACTTACCATAACTTTTGATTTGAGTGATGATCATATCAGCAACAATCAGGGTTCCAGTCCGTCCAATACCAGCACTGAAATATACAGGTCAAAATTACACCACCGATATATACAGGTCAAAATTACACCACCAAACTATACAGGTCAAAATTACACCACTGAAATATGGGAGCAGGACATTATCCCCCCCTCCACCACCACTGGGTATTCACACCCTCATAAATGTTTTATATACAACAAAATCCTGGCAAACTACTCGTTATTTTTTACAAGCTTTTATTTAACTCACTGTCTGTCTAGATTGAAACGCCCGAGCGAAAATTTGGGCACTTCTAACTGACAGGTTCGGTTCATAGTTGGTACGTGGGTCAAGACATGAAGACAATGCAACATAGCATAAAATTTAACTTAATTGGTTGCCTAATTAATTTTTATGAATTAATTAAAATTTTGACCAAATTAGCAGTCTTACCCAACTATTCCGAACTATTATACATGCTTATACACGTGTCATCATGTTCATTAGGTGCGCGATGGTTTTTAGTCATGCAACTCGAATATTATTATATAACACTAAGGGGGATGACAACTCGAGAAATTGACATGATTTTAATCCATTTTTAATTATATAAGAAAATCCAATACAATCATGTAGAAAAAAAAGAACTGCGCACCAAGTGATCGGCAAACAATGGGTCTGTAATGGTGCGGAATATTAGTACTTTATTAATTCATATGCGTTTTTTGAGACTTCGGAAATAGCGTAAATTACTACTTCCGGTCAACAATAATTACTCAAAATTTAACAGAAGGCAGACAATTAGATAGTTTACTTATATGAGAAATTTCGTTCATCTATCTGAAACAGTACTCAAGCTATAGGCTTTTGAAAAACTAAAAGTAGACTAAGTTCCACTTCCAGTTATCGGAAATCGCTGAAAAGTTGATACAGAACTACAACTTTGATATAATACTTATATATGAAATTCCACATGCACACACTGACAGAATTGCAAAGCCTGGTTTTTCCTACTGGATTATGCGTAAAACGCTGACATTTTGATAAATCTGGATTTAGAATTTTTGCCAGATTTAAATAAGTCCCCTATACTCTGTATACAATGAAGAACTGAGAAGCCAAACGGTGATAACTGTCAAGATTTCATGTTATTTTTGTGCACGGTTACAATACTTCCTCTATACTCTGTATACGAGAAAGTAAAAATTTTAAAGTACTGAAAAAATATTCATAAAAAACATTTTAATAACATGCTTTTATGTAATAATGAACTAAAAAGTAGAAAATAAATTATACACTACTATTTAAATTACTATAAAGAAAAGTGTGGGTCTCTTCCTAAATATTAGTAAGGGTATCCAATAGATAATAAAGTTACCTACGCTATTCTTTATAGTAATTTAAATAGTAGTGTATAATTTATTTTCTACTTTTTAGTTCATTATTACATAAAAGCTTGTTATTAAAATGATTTTTATGAATATTTTTTAATGAGAATATTTGAAACTTGCAAAACTTAAGCCAGATTATAACTGAGCCATTGTGTTGGCCAAGTTGATAGAAAAATATGGCCCTTACCTACAGTGTACAACTACAGGACCAGGACTGGGGAGAGAGTCCAAAAGGTTGTTGATTCTTTCTAGAAAATCAATCATGGAGCCGGGGTCATCAGGTACATTGTAATCAGGCCAAATCATATAATGAAACTGGTAGATTTTGCGTGGTTCCTCAATGGGCTAAAAAAAAATTGTTTCAAAACTAAAAAAAGAATTCTTACATCAACTTAAAAACAATTTGGCAAATTAAAGAACAACCATTTATTTTTTTGTTTTTTTCTGATGTTTCCATGTAAGCTAAAATATCAGGCAACTGACCTTTCCATCTTTATCCTCCTTACTAAGCATCATCTCCCTCCTGATGTAGGTCTGGTCACCTGTTTCATTTAACAGTTTGACCCTGTACTGGCAAATAAATTTTTTACTACTGCTCTCAACAGGATGCTCAAAGACAAAAAGTTTCTCATAGTTTTCTTCCTGGGTTGGCCAGTAGATGTTAATCTGGATCTGTACACAAAGTCATCACACTGCGTTAGGTTTAAAGGCACATCTAATGGTACCAACAACACACATACAAACAACACAAGTACCAACAAACAAGTGCACCAACAACTCACTTACCTACAAACAAGCACACCAACACACACATACCAACAAACAAGCGCACCAACAAACAAGTGCACCAACAACACATGTACCAACAAACAAGCGCACCAACAACACATATTAACAACACACATACCAACAACACACATACCAACAACACACATACCAACAACACACAAATCAACAACACACATACCAACAACACACATACCAACAACACACATACCAACAACACACATACCAACAACACACATACCAACAACACACATACCAACAACACACATACCAACAACACACATACCAACAACACACATACCAACAACACACATACCAACAACACACATACCAACAACACACATACCAACAACCCAAGCACACCAATAATTATGGCATATTTTACAAAATCTAACAGACAATACATACATATATACATATATATACATATATATACATATATATACATATATATACATATATATACATATATATACATATATATACATATATATACATATATATACATACATACATACATACATATATATATATATATATATATATATATATATATATATATATATATATATATATATATATATATATATATATATATTAGCATATATATATATATATATTAGCATATATATATATATATTAGCATATATATATATATATATATATATATATATATATATAGTTGACACAGACACCTAGTGACACAATCAAGTGACACAGACACCAAGTGACACACCACTAGGTGACACAGACACTAACGTCATGTGACACAATCAAGTGACACAGACACCAGGTGACACAGACACCAGGTGACACAATCAAGTGACTAACGTCATGTGACACAAACGTTACCTTTCCTCTTTCCGTGATCCTGGCTAAATTGATTATAACCCTAGATCCTTCCTGCCATATCATTCTGTAAAAGTCTAACATTGTACTTGTTAATGGTCCTTGGGTTGCAATGTATTTTCTTTTTGGCTCAATCAACTGGTCATCATCTGTCTGATAGTGAGAGAACAACATCTTGATCTTAGGATAATAGATAGTGAGATGAGAGAACAACATCTTGATCTTAGGATAATAGATAGTGAGATGAGAGAACAACATCTTGATCTTAGGATAATAGATAGTGAGATGAGAGAACAACATTTTGATCTTAGGATAATAGATAGTGAGATGAGAGAACAACATCTTGATCTTAGGATAATAGATAGTGAGATGAGAGAACAACATCTTGATCTTAGGATAATAAATACTGGCGATCTTAGGATAATAAATAATGGTGATCTTAGGATAATAAATAATGAGAACTTATGACAATAAATGGGGGTCAAACTTTTTTTTCCAGATGTCTTTATTTATTACATCCTACATTCCTTACATCCTACATGTCTTTACAGTGTGTAGGCCTACTTTTGTTGCAGATAAGTTAGTGAAGAGTTGAATGTTTTCTCTCCTCTGGCCCTGCTCTAACCTCTAGCCCTGCTCTAACCTCTAGCCCTGCTCTAACCTCTGGCCCTGCTCTAACCTCTAGCCCTGCTCTAACCTCTGGCCCTGCTCTAACCTCTGGCCCTGCTCTAACTCTAACCTCTAGCCCTGCTCTAACCTCTAGCCCTGCTCTAACCTTTAGCCCTGCTCTAACCTCTGGCCCTGCTCTAACCTCTAGCCCTGCTCTAACCTCTAGCCCTGCTCTAACCTCTAGCCCTGCTCTAACCTCTAGCCCTGCTCTAACTCTAACCTCTGGCCCTGCTCTAACCTCTGCTCTAACCTCTGGCCCTGCTCTAACCTCTGGCCCTGCTCTAACCTCTGGCCCTGCTCTAACCTCTGACCCTGCTCTAACCTCTAGCCCTGCTCTAACCTCTAGCCCTGCTCTAACCTCTGGCCCTGCTCTAACCTCTAGCCCTGCTCTAACCTCTGGCCCTGCTCTAACTCTAACCTCTAGCCCTGCTCTAACCTCTAGCCCTGCTCTAACTCTAACCTCTGGCCCTGCTCTAACCTCTAGCCCTGCTCTAACTCTAACCTCTGGCCCTGCTCTAACCTCTAGCCCTGCTCTAACCTCTGACCCTGCTCTAACCTCCAGCCCTGCTCTAACTCTAACCTCTAGCCCTGCTCTAACCTCTGGCCCTGCTCTAACCCTGCTCTAACCTCTAGCCCTGCTCTAACCTCTAGCCCTGCTCTAACCTCTAGCCCTGCTCTAACCCTGCTCTAACCTCTAGCCCTGCTCTAACCCTGCTCTAACCTCTAGCCCTGCTCTAACCTCTAGCCCTGCTCTAACCTCTGGCCCTGCTCTAACCTCTAGCCCTGCTCTAACCTCTAGCCCTGCTCTAACCTCTAGCCCTGCTCTAACCTCTAGCCCTGCTCTAACCCTGCTCTAACCTCTAGCCCTGCTCTAACCTCTAGCCCTGCTCTAACCCTGCTCTAACCTCTAGCCCTGCTCTAACCTCTAGCCCTGCTCTAACCCTGCTCTAACCTCTAGCCCTGCTCTAACCCTGCTCTAACCCTAACCTCTAGCCCTGCTCTAACCTCTAGCCCTGCTCTAACTCTAACCCTGCTCTAACCTCTAGCCCTGCTCTAACCTCTGGCCCTGCTCTAACCTCTGACCCTGCTCTCACCTCTGACCCTGCTCTCACCTCTGACCCTGCTCTAACCTCTGGCCCTGCTCTAACCTCTGGCCCTGCTCTAACCTCTAGCCCTGCTCTGACCCTGCTCTAACCTCTGACCCTGCTCTAACCTCTAGCCCTGCTCTAACCTCTGGCCCTGCTCTAACCTCTAGCCCTGCTCTAACCTCTGACCCTGCTCTAACCTCTAGCCCTGCTCAACTTAAAGAAACAAGACTTGAAAGGAGATCAGAATGGCTATACATATAAGATTAAGGTACTCACCCAAGTAATATGATTGGCATTGATGTAATCTGTTCCTAATTCTTCATTACCGTCTGCTAAAACCACTCTTGTGTAATCATCTGATAGAAAGAAAAGTTTCAAGCTTATAAAATACATTGCTAAAACCACTTGTGTAATAGTCACATTGAATGAAATTAAAAGTTTCTAAAACACACTATACTAGCTGTGTGTTGAGTGACTAGACTGCACTATACTAGTTGTGTTGAGTGACTAGACTGTACTATACTAGCTGTGTGTTGAGTGACTAGACTGTACTATACTAGCTGTGTGTTGAGTGACTAGACTTCACTATACTAGCTGTGTGTTGAGTGACTAGACTGCACTATACTAGCTGTGTGTTGAGTGACTAGACTGCACTATACTAGCTGTGTGTTGAGTGACTAGACTGTACTATACTAGCTGTGTGTTGAGTGACTAGACTGCACTATACTAGCTGTGTGTTAAGGTACTAGACTGCACTATACTATACTAGCTGTGTGTTGAGTGACTAGACTGCACTATACTAGCTGTGTGTTAAGTGACTAGACTGCACTATACTAGCTGTGTGTTGAGTGACTAGACTGCACTATACTAGCTGTGTGTTGAGTGACTAGACTGCACTATACTAGCTGTGTGTTGAGTGACTAGACTGCACTATACTAGCTGTGTGTTGAGTGACTAGACTGCACTATACTAGCTGTGTGTTGAGTGACTAGACTGCACTATACTAGCTGTGTGTTGAGTGACTAGACTGCACTATACTAGCTGTGTGTTGAGTGACTAGACTGCACTATACTAGCTGTGTGTTGAGTGACTAGACTGCACTATACTAGCTGTGTGTTGAGTGACTAGACTTCTCTATACTAGCTGTGTGTTGAGTGACTAGACTGCACTATACTAGCTGTGTGTTGAGTGACTAGACTGCACTATACTAGCTGTGTGTTGAGTGACTAGACTGCACTATACTAGCTGTGTGTTGAGTGACTAGACTGCACTATACTAGCTGTGTGTTGAGTGACTAGACTGCACTATACTAGCTGTGTGTTAAGTGACTAGACTGCACTATACTAGCTGTGTGTTGAGTGACTAGACTGTACTATACTAGCTGTGTGTTGAGTGACTAGACTGTACTATACTAGCTGTGTGTTGAGTGACTAGACTGCACTATACTAGCTGTGTGTTGAGTGACTAGACTGCACTATACTAGCTGTGTTGAGTGACTAGACTGCACTATACTATACTAGTTGTGTGTTGAGTGACTAGACTGCACTATACTAGCTGTGTGTTGAGTGACTAGACTGCACTATACTAGCTGTGTGTTGAGTGACTAGACTGCACTATACTATACTAGCTGTGTGTTGAGTGACTAGACTGCACTATACTAGCTGTGTGTTGAGTGACTAGACTGTACTATACTAGCTGTGTTGAGTGACTAGACTGTACTATACTAGCTGTGTGTTGAGTGACTAGACTGCACTATACTAGCTGTGTGTTGAGTGACTAGACTGTACTATACTAGCTGTGTTGAGTGACTAGACTGTACTATACTAGCTGTGTGTTGAGTGACTAGACTGTACTATACTAGCTGTGTGTTGAGTGACTAGACTGCACTATACTAGCTGTGTGTTGAGTGACTAGACTGCACTATACTAGCTGTGTGTTGAGTGACTAGACTGTACTATACTAGCTGTGTGTTGAGTGACTAGACTGCACTATACTAGCTGTGTGTTAAGTGACTAGACTGCACTATACTAGCTGTGTGTTGAGTGACTAGACTGTACTATACTAGCTGTGTGTTGAGTGACTAGACTGTACTATACTAGCTGTGTGTTGAGTGACTAGACTGCACTATACTAGCTGTGTGTTGAGTGACTAGACTGCACTATACTAGCTGTGTTGAGTGACTAGACTGCACTATACTATACTAGTTGTGTGTTGAGTGACTAGACTGCACTATACTAGCTGTGTGTTGAGTGACTAGACTGCACTATACTAGCTGTGTGTTGAGTGACTAGACTGCACTATACTATACTAGCTGTGTGTTGAGTGACTAGACTGCACTATACTAGCTGTGTGTTGAGTGACTAGACTGTACTATACTAGCTGTGTTGAGTGACTAGACTGTACTATACTAGCTGTGTGTTGAGTGACTAGACTGCACTATACTAGCTGTGTGTTGAGTGACTAGACTGTACTATACTAGCTGTGTGTTGAGTGACTAGACTGTACTATACTAGCTGTGTGTTGAGTGACTAGACTGTACTATACTAGCTGTGTGTTGAGTGACTAGACTGCACTATACTAGCTGTGTGTTGAGTGACTAGACTGCACTATACTAGCTGTGTGTTGAGTGACTAGACTGTACTATACTAGCTGTGTGTTGAGTGACTAGACTGCACTATACTAGCTGTGTGTTGAGTGACTAGACTGCACTATACTAGCTGTGTGTTGAGTGACTAGACTGCACTATACTAGCTGTGTGTTGAGTGACTAGACTGCACTATACTAGCTGTGTGTTGAGTGACTAGACTGCACTATACTAGCTGTGTGTTGAGTGACTAGACTGCACTATACTATACTAGCTGTGTGTTGAGTGACTAGACTGCACTATACTAGCTGTGTGTTGAGTGACTAGACTGTACTATACTAGCTGTGTTGAGTGACTAGACTGTACTATACTAGCTGTGTGTTGAGTGACTAGACTGCACTATACTAGCTGTGTGTTGAGTGACTAGACTGTACTATACTAGCTGTGTTGAGTGACTAGACTGTACTATACTAGCTGTGTGTTGAGTGACTAGACTGTACTATACTAGCTGTGTGTTGAGTGACTAGACTGCACTATACTAGCTGTGTGTTGAGTGACTAGACTGCACTATACTAGCTGTGTGTTGAGTGACTAGACTGTACTATACTAGCTGTGTGTTGAGTGACTAGACTGCACTATACTAGCTGTGTGTTGAGTGACTAGACTGCACTATACTAGCTGTGTGTTGAGTGACTAGACTGCACTATACTAGCTGTGTGTTGAGTGACTAGACTGCACTATACTAGCTGTGTGTTGAGTGACTAGACTGCACTATACTAGCTGTGTGTTGAGTGACTAGACTGCACTATACTAGCTGTGTGTTGAGTGACTAGACTGCACTATACTAGCTGTGTGTTGAGTGACTAGACTTCACTATACTAGCTGTGTGTTGAGTGACTAGACTGCACTATACTAGCTGTGTGTTGAGTGACTAGACTGCACTATACTAGCTGTGTGTTGAGTGACTAGACTGCACTATACTAGCTGTGTGTTGAGTGACTAGACTGCACTATACTAGCTGTGTGTTGAGTGACTAGACTGCACTATACTAGCTGTGTGTTAAGTGACTAGACTGCACTATACTAGCTGTGTGTTGAGTGACTAGACTGTACTATACTAGCTGTGTGTTGAGTGACTAGACTGTACTATACTAGCTGTGTGTTGAGTGACTAGACTGCACTATACTAGCTGTGTGTTGAGTGACTAGACTGCACTATACTAGCTGTGTTGAGTGACTAGACTGCACTATACTATACTAGTTGTGTGTTGAGTGACTAGACTGCACTATACTAGCTGTGTGTTGAGTGACTAGACTGCACTATACTAGCTGTGTGTTGAGTGACTAGACTGCACTATACTAGCTGTGTGTTGAGTGACTAGACTGCACTATACTAGCTGTGTGTTGAGTGACGAGACTGCACTTACATGGTAAAATATTTTTATATCTATTCTTGGCCTTGTTCTCTGGTTTGCTTCCCTTCTCCCTTGAATAACGAAAACCAGTGAACTCACATTGTTGAAGTTGCTGCAAACAAAACAACCAATGTAACATAAACAAGCAGTGCATCTTACTGGGATCTTGGGCTAGTCAATATTAGCCAATTCCATACCTAAACAAACAAAGATTTCTAAGAAATAATTTAGACCTGTAATAGTTTAGTATAGAAACTCATTATTGGCATAGATTCTAGATCTAGAGAGGCTAGATCTAGATTCTATGGCTGGCTTAAGTCTAGTTTATCCGTAGATCTAAATATTCTAGATCTAGAATTTAGATCTAGATAGATTTTTTACATTCTCAAATTGTAAGTTCTGGGATATTTATGGACTAAATTAGTTTAATAAAGAGTTTCAATTATTGATTGTGTATTACTTATTGTTGCATGTTTTTCTTTTTAACTAATTATTTTCGGTTCAGCCTTAAAGTTTGTTTTATTCCTATACGTTTCAAGGAACGTCACTATATTTTTCTGTAAAACTATTTTTGGTTTGTCCTTAACAGCAAGTGACGTCACTAAGCCGGGGAAAGTTTTTAAGTTTTTGAGAAAACTATGTGTTTGTTCTGAACTTTTATAATTAAAGTGTTATTTTTACCAATGAATATATCAATAAATTAATTAGCGTCTTTAAATGAATTTGTGATTAACAGTTAGAAGAAAGAACATAATTCTCTACCTAAATACATATTTTACAGCTCTACGCTTAGTGCAGATTCTCTCATGTAACCAAACAGACAGACAAACAAAAAAATAAATTTACAAACATGTAAACAAACTTGAGTTTTAGTAGAATATAGATTACTTTCCTTGATAGATCATAAAAAAACACAATTACTTCCCTTTGAAAAAATTACATCAGGTGAAAAAACACTTTTTTTTAGTTTGTTTTGGTGTTGGAAAAAAAAATTTACATAATTAGCATGGATTGATAAAGTGCAATGTGGTAGGTGCAACACAGATATTTTAAATACTGCCTTCAGTACTGTTATACCAATTATTATTTGTAATAATTAACAGTTTAGAAGCCGCTACTAAATGTCCACTATGTTTACTTCTATCTTCCCGTTTGTAGACAAGCTTGGGGTATTTAGTCCTTTACTAAGTTGAATCAGGTGTTGAATCAGGTGTTGAATCAGGTGGTTCTGCCGGCGAAATCAGCAGGATGTGTTTTTTGCGCCCAGGGCTATGCTGTGAGCATTATGTTTATGTTCTGCGTTATTGTTTCCGTTTTTGTTTGCTTTTGTAATTGCGTCAGTGTTTATATTTTTGTTTGCTTTTTTAATTGCGTCAGTGTTTACATTTTTGTTTGCTTTTGTAATTGCGTCAGTGTTTACATTTTTGTTTGCTTTTGTAATTGCGTCAGTGTTTACATTTTTTGTGCTTTTTTAATTGCGTTAGTGCTTGCATTTTTGTTTGTGTTTGTCTTTTGGTTGTGGTTAGGGTTAATTCGAAAGGTAATATATTTCCTAAAGCTGGGCAATGCCGAGTATATGCTGCTTAATAAACACACAAGTGCAGGGCCTGGCCTGGCTGGCTAGCAGAGTAATATAAGAAGTGATACATAATAGCAAAGTATCAGAAACATTTATTGTGCACATTGGAATACGAAATGGGTTGACTTAGATGACTGGTTGATTGTATAATGAAACAAGCTAGAGGAAACATGTCTCCACGTGGATGTCCCCTTATTTTCACTCCTAATGTGACAACCCCCATGTGCTCTAATTTAGCTGACTATCTCCTTATATTAACAACTAATTTAGCTGACTATCTCCTTATATTAACAACTAATTTAGCTGACCATCTCCTTATATTAACAACTAATTTAGCTGACTATCTCCTTATATTAACAACTAATTTAGCTGACTATCTCCTTATATTAACAACTAATTTAGCTGACTATCTCCTTATATTAACAACTAATTTAGCTGACTATCTCCTTATATTAACAACTAATTTAGCTGACTATCTCCTTATATTAACAACTAATTTAGCTGACTATCTCCTTATATTAACAACTAATTTAGCTGACTATCTCCTTATATTAACAACTAATTTAGCTGACTATCTCCTTATATTAACAACTAATTTAGCTGACTATCTCCTTATATTAACAACTAATTTAGCTGACTATCTCCTTATATTAACAACTAATTTAGCTGACTATCTCCTTATATTAACAACTAATTTAGCTGACTATCTCCTTATATTAACAACTAGCGTGCTCCTTCCCCGCAGGGTTAAAGTCTGATGAAATATATTAGGAGGGTTTCATCAATGCGTTACCAATCCCATATTTTTTAGACATGTGAGCTTGTTTTCTAAAACTGAGTTATTAAATTGTATGGCCCTTGGCTTGGTTTAATCATCAAATGTTTGTGCCACCGTGTCAATATTGTAGGGTGCTCCTTAAAACTAACGTAGGCACCATAGCGTTCAAGGGATAGCCCTGGGCACCAAACCGCACCCTACTGGGTCATTGGCAGACGCGCCTGATTAAATTTAGTGAACAACTATAAAGCCCATCTTATCCATAGTTTATCTAACTGTTTAAAATGAACTTAGCGCCAAATTGCACCCTGCCAAGGCGCAGGGGTGGAGAATTGAAATATATTTTTTCTGCAGAAACCTTTCCAGGAGCATTTTCATCAACTCCCCAAAGTTTTATGGCACCATACAGAGCAAAATTGCATCCTCACAGGGTGCCGCCCTTGCGAAATAAAAAAAAAAATTTTCTGCAGAAACCTCCCCTGGGGTGTTTTAATCAACTCCTTAAAGTTTCTTGCTGATCAGATGAACAGTGTCAAACCGCAATCAACTTTTATTTTTACATACAGTATATAGAGGAGAGTCAAATCATGCCTTGCTGGGGTGCCACCCTGCCAATCAAAAGTATTTCACAGAAACATCCCCAGGTGCATTCTAAAAAACTTCCCAAAGTTAAACAACTTCCCAAAGTTTAACAACTTCCCAAAGTTAAACAACTTCCCAAAGTTAAACAACTTCCCAAAGTTAAACAACTTCCCAAAGTTAAACAACTTCACAAAGTTAAACAACTTCCCAAAGTTAAACAACTTCCCAAAGTTAAACAACTTCCCAAAGTTAAACAACTTCCCAAAGTTTAACAACTTCCCAAAGTTAAACAACTTCCCAAAATTTAATGACTATCAGATGAAAAAAGTATTAATGCATAAAGACAGACAAACAGATATACATTGTTTTTCACACACATAGATTAAACACAGACATTTTAATAATGCATTTAGCTCTTTAGAGCTTGTGCTAGAAAAACAAAGTGGACATACATGAAATTCTCCCCAAAAACCTTCATGAAATGCATTATGGGATTTGTGGCTGTCTTCATCTTCCGTCTGTAACTGTTTGATTCTGTTCTCTAAGGATGAAGCCATAACCCGACTGTTGTAGAGAGGCTAGAAAAATACATTTGCACTTGTAAATAACATTCGGAAATAAATTATTGCAACTAAAACATTTTGGAAGAGGTATGATGAAATCCTAATTGGGAAAAATACATGAAATCTAAAACTTTGTGAAAAATTTGGAAAGAAAGTACACTGACATCTAAAACATTAAGGTAAATGGTAAAAGTTAGATTGTGAAAGTGTTAATGATACATTACATGTTTAATGTAAACAACAGTGCCAGATGTTTCCACCATTGGACTTTTCTTATAATGTTCTACCAGCTCTGTCAGAGAATCAAACATCTCCCCACCTCCAACATCATACTTGCTGCCCTGTAGGTGGACCAAAACAGGTTTCAACTTTAATAAGCACCTTCTAGAACCAAATACAAATATTTTAAATAGTGCACACCTATTGTGCAAATATTTTAAATAGTGCACACCTATTGTGCAAATATTTTAAATAGTGCACACCTATTGTGCAAATATTTTTATTTACTTAACTATTAGGGAACATGCAATAAAAATACAATTTCTTAATAAACATTTAAGCAGGCTATAAAAAGATCTATGGGACCGCGAGGCCTAGCGGTGGAGCTAACCCGATAGTTTCGAGTTCAAATCCCGGTTCAAGTTAGTGGAACGTAGGTATTGCAAGGGTAGGGGGGAAGTTTAGATCAGTCTTTATCATGTTGTGCTAGGGTGTAGAATGGGGGGAAGTTTAGATCAGTCTTTGTCATGTTGTGTTAGGGTGTAGAATGGGGGGAAGTTTAGATCAGTCTTTGTCATATTGTGTTAGGGTGTAGAATGGGGGGAAGTTTAGATCAGTCTTTGTCATATTGTGTTAGGGTGTAGAATGGGGGGAAGTTTAGATCAGTCTTTATCATATTGTGCTAGGGTGTAGAATGGGGGGAAGTTTAGATCAGTCTTTATCATATTGTGTTAGGGTGTAGAATGGGGGGAAGTTTAGATCAGTCTTTGTCATATTGTGTTAGGGTGTAGAATGGGGGGAAGTTTAGATCAGTCTTTGTCATATTGTGTTAGGGTGTAGAATGGGGGGAAGTTTAGATCAGTCTTTGTCATGTTGTGTTTGGGTGTAGAATGGGGGGAACCTGTTGAACTAAAGGGCTGGATGAAGGTCTTATGAAGTTGTGTATGATGGTGCTACATATTGTAAGTAAAGGGCTGGATGAAGGTCTTATGAACATGTGTATGATGGTGCTACATATTGTAACTAAAGGGCTAGATGAAGGTCTTATGAAGTTGTGTATGATGGTGCTACATATTGTAACTAAAGGGCTGGATGAAGGTCTTATGAAGTTGTGTATGATGGTGCTACATATTGTAACTAAAGGGCTGGATGAAGGTCTTATGAACATGTGTATGATGGTGCTACATATTGTAAGTAAAGGGCTGGATGAAGGTCTTATGAAGTTGTGTATGATGGTGCTACATATTGTAACTAAAGGGCTGGATGAAGGTCTTATGAACATGTGTATGATGGTGCTACATATTGTAACTAAAGGGCTGGATGAAGGTCTTATGAAGTTGTGTCTAATGGTGCTACATATTGTAACTAAAGGGCTGGATGAAGGTCTTATGAAGTTGTGTATGATGGTGCTACATATTGTAACTAAAGGGCTGGATGAAGGTCTTATGAAGTTGTGTCTAATGGTGCTACATATTGTAAGTAAAGGGCTGGATGAAGGTCTTATGAAGTTGTGTCTAATGGTGCTACATATTGTAACTAAAGGGCTGGATGAAGGTCTTATGAAGTTGTGTATGATGGTGCTACATATTGTAATGAAAGGGCTGGATGAAGGTCTTATGAAGTTGTGTATGATGGTGCTACATATTGTAACTAAAGGGTTGGATGAAGGTCTTATGAAGTTGTGTATGATGGTGCTACATATTGTAACTAAAGGGCTGGGTGAAGGTTTTATGAAGTTGTGTTTGATGGTGCTACATATTGTAACTAAAGGGCTGGATGAAGGTCTTATGAAGTTGTGTATGATGGTGCTACATATTGTAACTAAAAGGCTGGATGAAGGTCTTATGAAGTTGTGTATGATGGTGCTACATATTGTAACTAAAGGGCTGGATGAAGGTCTTATGAACATGTGTATGATGGTGCTACATATTGTAACTAAAGGGCTGGATGAAGGTCTTATGAACATGTGTATGATGGTGCTACATATTGTAACTAAAGGGTTGGATGAAGGTCTTATGAAGTTGTGTATGATGGTGCTACATATTGTAACTAAAGGGCTGGATGAAGGTTTTATGAAGTTGTGTATGATGGTGCTACATATTGTAACTAAAGGGCAGGATGAAGGTCTTATGAAGTTGTGTATGATGGTGCTACATATTGTAACTAAAGGGCTGGATGAAGGTCTTATGAAGTTGTGTATGATGGTGCTACATATTGTAACTAAAGGGCTGGATGAAGGTCTTATGAAGTTGTGTATGATGGTGCTACATATTGTAACTAAAGGGCTGGATGAAGGTCTTATGAACATGTGTATGATGGTGCTACATATTGTAACTAAAGGGCTGGATGAAGGTCTTATGAACATGTGTATGATGGTGCTACATATTGTAACTAAAGGGCTGGATGAAGGTCTTATGAAGTTGTGTATGATGGTGCTACATATTGTAACTAAAGGGCTGGATGAAGGTCTTATGAAGTTGTGTATGATGGTGCTACATATTGTAACTAAAGGGCTGGATGAAGGTCTTATGAAGTTGTGTATGATGGTGCTACATATTGTAACTAAAGGGCTGGACGAAGGTCTTATGAACATGTGTATGATGGTGCTACATATTGTAACTAAAGGGCTGGATGAAGGTCTTATGAACATGTGTATGATGGTGCTACATATTGTAACTAAAGGGCTGGATGAAGGTCTTATGAAGTTGTGTATGATGGTGCTACATATTGTAACTAAAGGGCTGGATGAAGGTCTTATGAAGTTGTGTATGATGGTGCTACATATTGTAACTAAAGGGCTGGATGAAGGTCTTATGAAGTTGTGTATGATGGTGCTACATATTGTAACTAAAGGGCTGGATGAAGGTCTTATGAAGTTGTGTATGATGGTGCTACATATTGTAACTAAAGGGCTGGATGAAGGTCTTATGAAGTTGTGTATGATGGTGCTACATATTGTAAGTAAAGGGCTGGATGAAGGTCTTATGAACATGTGTATGATGGTGCTACATATTGTAACTAAAGGGCTAGATGAAGGTCTTATGAAGTTGTGTATGATGGTGCTACATATTGTAACTAAAGGGCTGGATGAAGGTCTTATGAAGTTGTGTATGATGGTGCTACATATTGTAACTAAAGGGCTGGATGAAGGTCTTATGAACATGTGTATGATGGTGCTACATATTGTAAGTAAAGGGCTGGATGAAGGTCTTATGAAGTTGTGTATGATGGTGCTACATATTGTAACTAAAGGGCTGGATGAAGGTCTTATGAACATGTGTATGATGGTGCTACATATTGTAACTAAAGGGCTGGATGAAGGTCTTATGAAGTTGTGTCTAATGGTGCTACATATTGTAACTAAAGGGCTGGATGAAGGTCTTATGAAGTTGTGTATGATGGTGCTACATATTGTAACTAAAGGGCTGGATGAAGGTCTTATGAAGTTGTGTCTAATGGTGCTACATATTGTAAGTAAAGGGCTGGATGAAGGTCTTATGAAGTTGTGTCTAATGGTGCTACATATTGTAACTAAAGGGCTGGATGAAGGTCTTATGAAGTTGTGTATGATGGTGCTACATATTGTAATGAAAGGGCTGGATGAAGGTCTTATGAAGTTGTGTATGATGGTGCTACATATTGTAACTAAAGGGTTGGATGAAGGTCTTATGAAGTTGTGTATGATGGTGCTACATATTGTAACTAAAGGGCTGGGTGAAGGTTTTATGAAGTTGTGTTTGATGGTGCTACATATTGTAACTAAAGGGCTGGATGAAGGTCTTATGAAGTTGTGTATGATGGTGCTACATATTGTAACTAAAAGGCTGGATGAAGGTCTTATGAAGTTGTGTATGATGGTGCTACATATTGTAACTAAAGGGCTGGATGAAGGTCTTATGAACATGTGTATGATGGTGCTACATATTGTAACTAAAGGGCTGGATGAAGGTCTTATGAACATGTGTATGATGGTGCTACATATTGTAACTAAAGGGTTGGATGAAGGTCTTATGAAGTTGTGTATGATGGTGCTACATATTGTAACTAAAGGGCTGGATGAAGGTTTTATGAAGTTGTGTATGATGGTGCTACATATTGTAACTAAAGGGCAGGATGAAGGTCTTATGAAGTTGTGTATGATGGTGCTACATATTGTAACTAAAGGGCTGGATGAAGGTCTTATGAAGTTGTGTCTAATGGTGCTACATATTGTAACTAAAGGGCTGGATGAAGGTCTTATGAAGTTGTGTATGATGGTGCTACATATTGTAACTAAAGGGCTGGATGAAGGTCTTATGAACATGTGTATGATGGTGCTACATATTGTAACTAAAGGGCTGGATGAAGGTCTTATGAACATGTGTATGATGGTGCTACATATTGTAACTAAAGGGCTGGATGAAGGTCTTATGAAGTTGTGTATGATGGTGCTACATATTGTAACTAAAGGGCTGGATGAAGGTCTTATGAAGTTGTGTATGATGGTGCTACATATTGTAACTAAAGGGCTGGATGAAGGTCTTATGAAGTTGTGTATGATGGTGCTACATATTGTAACTAAAGGGCTGGATGAAGGTCTTATGAACATGTGTATGATGGTGCTACATATTGTAACTAAAGGGCTGGATGAAGGTCTTATGAACATGTGTATGATGGTGCTACATATTGTAACTAAAGGGCTGGATGAAGGTCTTATGAAGTTGTGTATGATGGTGCTACATATTGTAACTAAAGGGCTGGATGAAGGTCTTATGAAGTTGTGTATGATGGTGCTACATATTGTAACTAAAGGGCTGGATGAAGGTCTTATGAAGTTGTGTATGATGGTGCTACATATTGTAACTAAAGGGCTGGATGAAGGTCTTATGAAGTTGTGTATGATGGTGCTACATATTGTAACTAAAGGGCTGGATGAAGGTCTTATGAAGTTGTGTATGATGGTGCTACATATTGTAAGTAAAGGGCTGGATGAAGGTCTTATGAACATGTGTATGATGGTGCTACATATTGTAAGTAAAGGGCTGGATGAAGGTCTTATGAAGTTGTGTCTAATGGTGCTACATATTGTAACTAAAGGGCTGGATGAAGGTCTTATGAAGTTGTGTATGATGGTGCTACATATTGTAATGAAAGGGCTGGATGAAGGTCTTATGAACATGTGTATGATGGTGCTACATATTGTAACTAAAGGGCTGGATGAAGGTCTTATGAAGTTGTGTATGATGGTGCTACATATTGTAACTAAAGGGCTGGATGAAGGTCTTATGAAGTTGTGTATGATGGTGCTACATATTGTAACTAAAGGGCTGGATCAAGGCAGTAAAAATGAATTAAGACGTTTTCCTTTTGTTTTACAGTAGTTTAGAAATGTTTTTATCAAATGTCTTTTTACTATATGGACATTTTTTAGTTTCTGAGAATAACTTTAGAATTTATTTATTAAATTATTTGAAAAACAGATTTAAAATCTATTCAAATATACAATAATAAAATCTTCACTAATAATGACTCTAAAATATTGAATCTTTACTGCCTAAATATTCTGTATTAACCACCAGTACACCCCAACCATACAAATAGCGTCAACAATAGTAGGACATTACCCCCACCCCTGCACTAAAATAGAGATATGGATAGGTAAATGATAGGAATAAAGATAGAGATATGGATAGCTTAAGGATATAGATGATGATATATAATGAATAGTTGTAATATGTATCCTAAGGGGGGGGGGGGGGTTATTGCCTGAATTAGGTAAGGGTAAGTTATCTTGAGATTGGTGGGGGTAATAACTCATCCTTAAAAGAGCCATAATTACCTGACAACGAATTTTAACGTGCGTGACCCGGTCCTCACACCTGACAGATATAACAAAGTCTCCTGGTTTACTCTGACTTTCTCGCACTAAAAAACTGGAGTTCTTTCCCTTTTCAAGTAAAAGCCTCTCTGCCTCGCGGCCTGTAAGATGACCATGAAACCACCTAGAATAAAATAATTCAATGTAAGATGGCCATGAAACCACCTAGAATAAAATAATTCAATGTAAGATGGCCATAAAACCACATAGAATAAAATAATTCAAAGTAAGATGGCCATGAAACCACATAGAATAAAATAATTCAATGTAACTTGGCCATGAAACCACCTAGAATAAAATAATTCAATGTAACTTGGCCATGAAACCACATAGAATAAAATAATTCAAAGTAAGATGGCCATGAAACCACCTAGAACAAAAAAAAATTCAATGTAAGATGGCCATAAACCCACATGGAATAAAATAATTCAATGTAAGATGGCCATGAAACCACATAGAATAAAATAATTCAATGTAAGATGGCCATGAAACCACATAGAATAAAATAATTCAATGTAAGATGGCCATGAAACCACATAGAATAAAATAATTCTATGTAAGATGGCCATGAAACCACCTAGAATAAAATAATTCAATGTAACTTGGCCATGAAACCACCTAGAATAAAATAATTCAATGTAAGATGGCCATGAACCCACATGGAATAAAATAATTCAATGTAACTTGGCCATGAAACCACCTAGAATAAAATAATTCAATGTAAGATGGCCATGAAACCACCTAGAATAAAATAATTCAATGTAAGATGGCCATAAAACCACATAGAATAAAATAATTCAAAGTAAGATGGCCATGAAACCACATAGAATAAAATAATTCAATGTAAGATGGCCATGAAACCACATAGAATAAAATAATTCAATGTAACTTGGCCATGAAACCACCTAGAATAAAATAATTCAATGTAACTTGGCCATGAAACCACATAGAATAAAATAATTCAATGTAACTTGGCCATGAAACCACCTAGAATAAAATAATTCAAAGTAAGATGGCCATGAAACCACCTAGAATAAAAAAATTCAATGTAAGATGGCCATGAACCCACATGGAATAAAATAATTCAATGTAAGATGGCCATGAAACCACATAGAATAAAATAATTCAATGAAACTTGGCCATAAAACCACAAAGAATAAAATAATTCAATGTAAGATGGCCATGAAACCACATAGAATAAAATAATTCAATGTAACTTGGCCAAGAAACCACCTAGAATAAAATAATTCAATGTAACTTGGCCAAGAAACCACATAGAATAAAATAATTTAATGTAACTTGGCCATAAAACCACATAGAATAAAATAATTCAATGTAACTTGGCCATGAAACCACATAGAATAAAATAATTCAATGTAACTTGGCCATGAAACCACCTAGAATAAAATAATTCAAAGTAAGATGGCCATGAAACCACCTAGAATAAAATAATTCAAAGTAAGATGGCCATGAACCCACATGGAATAAAATAATTCAATGTAAGATGGCCATGAAACCACATAGAATAAAATAATTCAATGTAACTTGGCCATAAAACCACATAGAATAAAATAATTCAATGTAAGATGGCCATGAAACCACATAGAATAAAATAATTCAATGTAAGATGGCCATGAAACCACCTAGAATAAAATAATTCAATGTAACTTGGCCAAGAAACCACATAGAATAAAATAATTTAATGTAACTTGGCCATAAAACCACATAGAATAAAATAATTCAATGTAACTTGGCCATGAAACCACCTAGAATAAAATAATTCAATGTAAGATGGCCATGAAACCACCTAGAATAAAATAATTCAATGTAAGATGGCCATAAAACCACATAGAATAAAATAATTCAAAGTAAGATGGCCATGAAACCACATAGAATAAAATAATTCAATGTAAGATGGCCATGAAACCACATAGAATAAAATAATTCAATGTAACTTGGCCATGAAACCACCTAGAATAAAATAATTCAATGTAACTTGGCCATGAAACCACATAGAATAAAATAATTCAATGTAACTTGGCCATGAAACCACCTAGAATAAAATAATTCAAAGTAAGATGGCCATGAAACCACCTAGAATAAAAAAATTCAATGTAAGATGGCCATGAACCCACATGGAATAAAATAATTCAATGTAAGATGGCCATGAAACCACATAGAATAAAATAATTCAATGAAACTTGGCCATAAAACCACATAGAATAAAATAATTCAATGTAAGATGGCCATGAAACCACATAGAATAAAGTAATTCAATGTAAGATGGCCATGAAACCACCTAGAATAAAATAATTCAATGTAACTTGGCCAAGAAACCACATAGAATAAAATAATTTAATGTAACTTGGCCATAAAACCACATAGAATAAAATAATTCAATGTAACTTGGCCATGAAACCACATAGAATAAAATAATTCAATGTAACTTGGCCATGAAACCACCTAGAATAAAATAATTCAAAGTAAGATAGCCATGAAACCACCTAGAATAAAATAATTCAAAGTAAGATGGCCATGAACCCACATGGAATAAAATAATTCAATGTAAGATGGCCATGAAACCACATAGAATAAAATAATTCAATGTAACTTGGCCATAAAACCACATAGAATAAAATAATTCAATGTAAGATGGCCATGAAACCACATAGAATAAAATAATTCAATGTAAGATGGCCATGAAACCACCTAGAATAAAATAATTCAATGTAACTTGGCCAAGAAACCACATAGAATAAAATAATTTAATGTAACTTGGCCATAAAACCACATAGAATAAAATAATTCAATGTAACTTGGCCATGAAACCACCTAGAATAAAATAATTCAATGTAACTTGGCCAAGAATCCACATAGAATAAAATAATTCAATGTAACTTGGCCATGAAACCACATGGAATAAAATAATTCAATGTAAGATGGCCATAAAACCACCTAGAATAAAATAATTTAATGTAACTTGGCCATAAAACCACATAGAATAAAATAATTCAATGTAAGATGGCCATGAAACCACATAGAATAAAATAATTCAATGTAAGATGGCCATGAAACCACCTAGAATAAAATAATTCAATGTAAATTGGCCAAGAAACCACATAGAATAAAATAATTTAATGTAACTTGGCCATAAAACCACATAGAATAAAATAATTCAATGTAACTTGGCCATGAAACCACCTAGAATAAAATAATTCAATGTAACTTGGCCAAGAAACCACATAGAATAAAATAATTCAATGTAACTTGGCCATGAAACCACATGGAATAAAATAATTCAATGTAAGATGGCCATAAAACCACCTAGAATAAAATAATTTAATGTAACTTGGCCATAAAACCACATAGAATAAAATAATTTAATGTAACTTAGCCATGAAACCACCTAGAATAGAAGAATTCAATGTAACTTGGCCATAAAACCACATAGAATAAAATAATTCAATGTAACTTGGCCATGAAACCACATAGAATAAAATAATTCAATGTAACTTGGCCATGAAACCACATAGAATAAAATAATTCAATGTAACTTGGCCATGAAACCACATAGAATAGAATAATTTGATGTAAGATGGCCAACATTTTTACAATGATGTAAATAGAAATAAGTCATAAACCTGAGAAGACCATATGACTTAGGTATTAATGTTATGATCAGGTTAACCCTTTGAGCCCTCCAGGCCGGTAAACCGGCTTAAACATTAGGCATATACGTCCGTAAAGCCGGTTTTCCGGCCCGATGATCTAGCGTCATATTCCTAGCGGCTGGTATACTGTCTAATTAAATATAATTAGCGGAAGACTGACTAAAAACTGCTCATATGTCTTTTGAGTGCAGGATTATGATTCTAAAAATAGATTTTAAGGAACAGTGAAAGTGAAAGTGTTTACATTTCGTAGCAATGCCGCCGAAACGAAAAGCTGAGCCACAGCCGTCGACTTCATCACATATACAGTTGGTGCAAAAGATGAAGCAAAAGACCGAAATATCAACAAAAGAAGATAATATTCCTGGTCTATATTGTGATGATAGTGACGTTGAATTTGAGACTGAACATTGTGACATTGAAATTGACAGTGACAATGAAACTGTTCAAGTACGTACTGATGCGCGTGGTGTCAAGGACAAAGACTTGCCGAAACAAAAAAAAACAACTGTTTACTGGTGCAAAACATGCAAATTTTTTCTTTGCATCGGGTCCGGCAGTGATAACTGTTTTGAAAGTTATCACACAAAAGTGGACTTCTGGCTTTGAACTAGTATGGCCAGGTATCAAAAATAACAAAACAATTACTAAATGTAAATTGGTTTCTTCTATGTTCTATCAAAACAATAATTATGTGTTCATTTTATATACATTGTTCTGTTCAAACATTGTAAAAAAAAAAAAGAATTTCAGAATCTTGCTGAATTGTTGTTTGATCCTGAGTCTGGATACCAAATTTGGCTTGATTATCTCAAACGGCTCAAAAGTTATAGGCAAAGTTAGAAGCAGATAAGTGAAAATTGGTTTGGGCCTGGGAGCTCAGGAAATGGGAGAAATTAGGCCAGGGCTCAAAGGGTTAAGCCTGACTTAGTTATTAATGTTATAATCAGGTTAGTCCAAAGTAGAAACAAAAGGAAGAGTCAGAAATTCCAAATTTTGTGTATGTAAAACATTCATTGCTTGTTAATTGATCCCAGAAGGAGGAAGGTTACAGAGGTAAATTTGCATGTATGTTCTCACTAAGTTGAGCAATCTGCTAACAATATTTGCCAACTATCATGGTAAGAAACTACCTTTCTGGAGTGGGATCCATTGATGCCATTGGATATTTTAACTTGATCACAGCCCCATTTTTTTCTTTCAACTGTTCCTGATTTTCCATGTAATACTGAACAAGTTCAGAGAGAGTAGCAAATGTTTCTCCTCCATACAAGTCATAAGAGTCTCCAGTGTTCTGGATTTTTATATGGGTCACCTCTCCATTACGTCTGCAAGAGAAAAACAAAAATTTGATTGAACTCTACTTACACACATGTACTAATTTGTATCATGAAATATGACTCTCTTTGTACTCACTAACTTAAATACTCACTAGGAATAAAATATTGCTGGTTACATGACTGTAACCTATCTTTTTTTTCTGTTTGTGTCCAAGACAAATGAGTTAGATGAAGTAGAGTTCATCTGATTTAGAGACCTTGGCATAAGAAGGGATAGAGTGGTCAGCACTATGCCCAGCCGTCTTTGTTTCCCTAATGTGAGTTAGGTACCCATAGAGTGGTCAGCACTATGCCCAGCCGTCTTTGTTTCCCTAATGTGAGTTAGGTACCCATCATAGCTTGGTGGATTCAGGGACATTCTACTGACTTAAACGCAGATTCAAACTCATGACTTTTGATTTGTTGTGTAGACCCTGACTATACCATGCTGTTGTGTAGACCCTGACTATACCATGTTGTTGTGTAGACCCTGACTATACCATGTTGTTGTGTAGACCCTGACTATAGTTGTTGTGTAGACCCTGACTATACCATGCTGTTGTGTAGACCCTGACTATACCATGCTGTTGTGTAGACCCTGACTATAGTTGTTGTGTAGACCCTGACTATAGTTGTTGTGTAGACCCTGACTATAGTTGTTGTGTAGACCCTGACTATAGTTGTTGTGTAGACCCTGACTATAGTTGTTGTGTAGACCCTGACTATAGTTGTTGTGTAGACCCTGACTATAGTTGTTGTGTAGACCCTGACTATAGTTGTTGTGTAGACCCTGACTATAGTTGTTGTGTAGACCCTGACTATACCATGCTGTTGTGTAGACCCTGACTATAGTTGTTGTGTAGACCCTGACTATACCATGTTGTTGTGTAGACCCTGACTATAGCTGTTGTGTAGACCCTGACTATAGTTGTTGTGTAGACCCTGACTATAGTTGTTGTGTAGACCCTGACTATAGTTGTTGTGTAGACCCTGACTATACCATGCTGTTGTGTAGACCCTGACTATAGTTGTTGTGTAGACCCTGACTATAGTTGTTGTGTAGACCCTGACTATACCATGTTGTTGTGTAGACCCTGACTATAGTTGTTGTGTAGACCCTGACTATAGTTGTTGTGTAGACCCTGACTATAGTTGTTGTGTAGACCCTGACTATAGTTGTTGTGTAGACCCTGACTATACCATGTTGTTGTGTAGACCCTGACTATAGTTGTTGTGTAGACCCTGACTATAGTTGTTGTGTAGACCCTGACTATAGTTGTTGTGTAGACCCTGACTATACCATGCTGTTGTGTAGACCCTGACTATAGTTGTTGTGTAGACCCTGACTATAGTTGTTGTGTAGACCCTGACTATAGTTGTTGTGTAGACCCTGACTATACCATGTTGTTGTGTAGACCCTGACTATACCATGTTGTTGTGTAGACCCTGACTATACCATGCTGTTGTGTAGACCCTGACTATAGTTGTTGTGTAGACCCTGACTATAGTTGTTGTGTAGACCCTGACTATACCATGCTGTTGTGTAGACCCTGACTATAGTTGTTGTGTAGATCCTGACTATAGTTGTTGTGTAGACCCTGACTATAGTTGTTGTGTAGACCCTGACTATAGTTGTTGTGTAGACCCTGACTATAGTTGTTGTGTAGACCCTGACTATAGTTGTTGTGTAGACCCTGACTATACCATGTTGTTGTGTAGACCCTGACTATACCATGCTGTTGTGTAGACCCTGACTATAGTTGTTGTGTAGACCCTGACTATAGTTGTTGTGTAGACCCTGACTATAGTTGTTGTGTAGACCCTGACTATACCATGCTGTTGTGTAGACCCTGACTATAGTTGTTGTGTAGATCCTGACTATAGTTGTTGTGTAGACCCTGACTATAGTTGTTGTGTAGACCCTGACTATAGTTGTTGTGTAGACCCTGACTATAGTTGTTGTGTAGACACTGACACCTCCCACCCAAACCTTGCTATCACTTGCCAGTTATTTGAAGCAAGCCCACACCTCCCACCCAAACCTTGCTATCACTTGCCAGTTATTTGAAGCAAGCCCACACCTCCCACCCAAACCTTGCTATCACTTGCCAGTTATTTGAAGCAAGCCCACACCTCCCACCCAAACCTTGCTATCACTTGCCAGTTATTTGAAGCAAGCCCACACCTCCCACCCAAACCTTGCTATCACTTGCCAGTTATTTGAAGCAAGCCCACATCTCCCACCCAAACCTTGCTATCACTTGCCAGTTATTTGAAGCAAGCCCACACCTCCCACCCACACCTTGCTATCACTTGCCAGTTATTTGAAGCAAGTCCCACCCAAACCTTGCTATCACTTGCCAGTTATTTGAAGCAAGCCCACACCTCTCACCCAAACCTTGCTATCACTTGCCAGTTATTTGAAGCAAGCCCACACCTCCCACCCAAACCTTGCTATCACTTGCCAGTTATTTGAAGCAAGCCCACACCTCCCACCCACACCTTGCTATCACTTGCCAGTTATTTGAAGCAAGCCCACACCTCCCACCCAAACCTTGCTATCACTTGCCAGTTATTTGAAGCAAGCCCACACCTCCCACCCAAACCTTGCTATCACTTGCCAGTTATTTGAAGCAAGCCCACACCTCCCACCCACACCTTGCTATCACTTGCCAGTTATTTGAAGCAAGCCCACATCTCCCACCCAAACCTTGCTATCACTTGCCAGTTATTTGAAGCAAGCCCACACCTCCCACCCACACCTTGCTATCACTTGCCAGTTATTTGAAGCAAGTCCCACCCAAACCTTGCTATCACTTGCCAGTTATTTGAAGCAAGCCCACACCTCCCACCCAAACCTTGCTATCACTTGCCAGTTATTTGAAGCAAGCCCACATCTCCCACCCAAACCTTGCTATCACTTGCCAGTTATTTGAAGCAAGTCCCACCCAAACCTTGCAAGCCCACCTGATGGATAGGGTGTAAGCCCCTTCTGTGCTGCTAGGCCTGGCTAAAAAACTCCAGTCTTGTCCCTTCTCCATCAGTAGTTTTTCAGCCTGCTGACCACTGATGTTAGGGTGAAACCACCTGTAATACATTTAATCAGTTAGTTTTCCTTGTATAATTAAACACTTAAGATGTAAGAGAAAATGCTTATTAAGTACAATTAGATGAAAATTCTCATATTTTCACATGAGAGAAAACAAATCATTACTAAACATGTTTTTTATGTCATGTGTGTCATTGATTATTTGTTATATTTCTATGTTGGGAGTAAAACTACTAAAAAAATAGGATTTTTCTGAAAAACTTTCAAATTGGTTTATGGTTAAGGCATCTAGCCACATGATACATACACTACTAGATAATTGTCCTATTGAGGGAAAAATACAGAAGCACTATACTAATAATGTATCTTTCTTTTCTCTGAACCAAGCCCTTAACTCTTGATCCTAACCTAAACTGTTACCAAAACTTTCACAGACACTTTAAACAGTACAATAACATTAACCAGATCTGTAATAGAAGTCCTATCCCAATACCAAATGCTGTTACTGCAACCAAAAAAAAAATTCTCTAAATCTCCTATCCCAATACCAAATGCTGTTACTGCAACAAAAAAAAATTCTCTAAATCTCCTATCCCAATACCAAATGCTGTTACTGCAACCAAAAAAAAAATTCTCTAAATCTTCTATCCCAATACCAAATGCTGTTACTGCAACCAAAAAAAAAATTCTCTAAATCTCCTATCCCAATACCAAATGCTGTTACTGCAACCAAAAAAAAATTCTCTAAATCTCCTATCCCAATACCAAATGCTGTTACTGCAACAAAAAAAAAATTCTCTAAATCTCCTATCCCAATACCAAATGCTGTTACTGCAACAAAAAAAAAATTCTCTAAATCTTCATGCGGACTCTTATTGGTATGGTTGTACTAACTTTAAGAAGACAGCCCACATTTAAAGAATAAACCAATACCTTTAAAAATAAAGCAGGAGTGATCTCAACTAAACTTTCTCAAATATTCTTATGTAGTATTATGAGGGATGGCAACTCAGGATATAGACATTATTTTAAATCAATTTTTAATTACTCTTTCAAATAGAACAGAAACAACTGGTAGAAAAAAGAATTGCGCACCAAGTGTACAGCAAACAATGTGTATATAATAGAGCGGAATATTAGTAATTTATAAAGTCATATGAGTATGACTTTTTGAGAAATTTGAAATAGTGTAAAGTACTAGAATCTACTTCCTGTCAATGAAAATAACTCATGGTAAATGTATCAGAAATGTAGCTGTATACCGCCCGCCTAAGAAAAAAAGCAATTTTGTTTTACAAGCAGGAGGGGATTGGGCAATTTTCTAAACAGGTCATGATATTTCAAGCTTATTTTTTAACATTTCAAACAATAATTTGTTGTAACTAAATCATAGTACGCTAAATCATTATTTAGAATCAAAGCCTAAGATGATGTAGATCAAGTCATTCATTTCAAGTAAAAAACTCAAAATAACCCTGTTACAATTAGATATTTAAATATCAGCGAGTGTATAATGTGCTCACTTGGTCAGGTGTGTAGGGCTAACAGTCAGCGTGACCACAAAAAAGGGGGAGAGGATGTTTGTTATGGAAACACATGTAGCGTAAGTTGAGTAAAAGTAATATAATGACGTCACATTAATAAGCTGAATATACCCAAACCCATACAGTCATTGATAGCTAGACAGGCACAATTGACATTAAAAAATTCAGTCTACAGCATCTTCAATTTAAAAAAAAAGATGCATGGCTGCCTGCAATCTCTGACTCTTTATAAAAAATAGTGGGTAACAAAGACTTAAAAATAAAGAGGCAGGACAGCATCCCAGCGCGATTGCTCTTTCAGTAAAGAACAATTTTTTATAGTCTTAGCACATTCACAGGGTAAGTTTATAGACTTAGGACATCTCAGAAAAATTTAACTCCCAATTAATATTTAAGCCTAGTAATAGATGTTACAGAAACTATCAAATCAATATATTACATTATCAGTTAATGGACACATTGCATGTAAATGAATTAGTAATTTTGCAGAGGTCTACTAAATTTTTCTGGATGTCCACAATGGGTGGTGTTTGCAGAAAGTGGATGTGTGTGTGGACGGGGGTTTAAAATACACAATTTTTGTGGACATCATAAATGGATGACCCCTAAATAAATAATTTGTGCCATCCCTACAGTTAACACGGGCAGACAAAGTGCGCTAGCCAAAGGTCAAAGCTGACATCCTGACATAATGTGATGTCAGCCACAAATTTATACTCTACCGCTTGTTCATTTAGTGACCAGCTATCATACAACAATGTACTGTCATAAAAAATCTCTTAAAGATTTTAACTAACATTGGTCACAACAGAAAATTTAAGGACCTTAAAAATCAGATGACATGAGATGAGATAAAAAGTTAGCCAGATGACACAAGTTAAGTAAGCCAAATTAGCAGTTAGCCAGATGTCATGAGGTGAGATGAGCAGTTAGCCAGATGCCATGAGGTGAGATGAGCAGTTAGCCAGATGTCATGAGGTGAGATGAGCAGTTAGCCAGATGACACGAGGTGAAGTTAGCCAGATGACATGATGTGAGATGAGCAGTTAGCCAGATGCCATGAGGTGAGATGAGCAGTTAGCCAGATGTCATGAGGTGAGATGAGCAGTTAGCCAGATGACACGAGGTGATGTTAGCCAGATGACATGATGTGAGAAGAGCAGTTAGCCAGATGTCATGAGGTGAGATGAGCAGTTAGCCAGATGTCATGAGGTGAGATGAGAAGTTAGCCAGATGTCATGAGGTGAGATGAGCAGTTAGCCAGATGTCATGAGGTGAGATGAGCAGTTAGCCAGATGTCATGAGGTGAGATGAGCAGTTAGCCAGAAGTCATGAGGTGAGATGAGCAGTTAGCCAGATGTAATGTGGTGAGATGAGAATTAAGCCAGATGTCATGAGGTGAGATGAGCAGTTAGCCAGATGACACGAGTTGAAGTTAGCCATATGTCATAAGGTGACATAAGCAGTTAGCCAGATGACACAATGTGAAGTTAGCCAGATTACATGAGGTGAGATGAGCAGTTAGCCATATGACATGAGGTGAGATGAGCAGTTAGCCAGATGACATGATGTGAGATGAGCAGTTAGCCAGATGTCATGAGGTGAGATGAGCAGTTAGCCAGATGTCATGAGGTGAGATGAGCAGTTAGCCAGATGTCATGAGGTGAGATGAGCAGTTAGCCAGATGAAATAAGGTGAGATGAGCAGTTAGCTTGATGTCATGATGTGAGATGAGCAGTTAGCCAGATGTCATGAGGTGAGATGAGCAGTTAGCCAGATGTCATGAGGTGAGATGATAAGCTAGCCAGATGACATGAGGTGAGATGAGCAGTTAGCCAGATGACACGAGGTGAAGTTAGCCAGATGTCATGAGGTGAGATGAGCAGTTAGCCAGATGTCATGAGGTGAGATGAGCAGTTAGCCAGATGTCACAAGGTGAGATGAGCAGTTAGCCAGATGTCACGAGGTGAGATGAGCAGTTAGCCAGATGTCACGAGGTGAGATGAGCAGTTAGCCAGATGTCATGAGGTGAAATGAGCAGTTAGCCAGATGCCATGAGGTGAGATGAGCAGTTAGCCAGATGTCATGAGGTGAGATGAGCAGTTAGCCAGATGACACGAGGTGAAGTTAGCCAGATGACATGATGTGAGATGAGCAGTTAGCCAGATGTCATGAGGTGAGATGAGCAGTTAGCCAGATGTCATGAGGTGAGATGAGCAGTTAGCCAGATGACACGAGTTGAAGTTAGACAGATGACATGATGTGAGATGAGCAGTTAGCCAGATGTCATGAGGTGAGATGAGCAGTTAGCCAGATGTCATGAGGTGAGATGAGCAGTTAGCCAGATGTCATGAGTTGAGATGATAAGTTAGCCAGATGACACAAGGTGAGATGAGCAGTTAGCCAGATGTCATGAGGTGAGATGAGCAGTTAGCCAGATGTCATGAGGTGAGATGAGCAGTTAGCCAGATGCCATGAGGTGAGATGAGCAGTTAGCCAGATGTCATGAGGTGAAGTTAGCCAGATGACATGATGTGAGATGAGCAGTTAGCCAGATGTCATGAGGTGAGATGAGCAGTTAGCCAGATGTCATGAGGTGAGATGAGCAGTTAGCCAGATGTCATGAGGTGAGATGATAAGTTAGCCAGATGACACAAGGTGAAGTTAGACAGATGACATGATGTGAGATGAGCAGTTAGCCAGATGTCATGAGGTGAGATGAGCAGTTAGCCAGATGACACGAGGTGAGATGAGCAGTTAGCCAGATGACACGAGGTGAGATGAGCAGTTAGCCAGATGTCATGAGGTGAGATGAGCAGTTAGCCAGATGCCATGAGGTGAGATGAGCAGTTAGCCAGAAGTCATGAGGTGAGATGAGCAGTTAGCCAGATGTCATGAGGTGAGATGAGCAGTTAGCAGTATTAGTCTATTAGATTACACTCTAGTCTAGCTACTTACTGGGTCTAGATATTCAGTAGTAGCTAACTTAACTACTAGGCCCTGCCCTAGAGATCTAATTAATATTTATTTAAACTTTAAAATTAAACATCCTACCTTCTTGATGCAGCCATGTATCAAATGTACTTAATGAATGTAGTATGTAGATCTAGAATCTAGATCTAGATTCTAGTAGTATGTAGATCACTAGATCTATGTACTAGAGAGTCTATCATAAATTCAAAGTAAATAGAATCTAGATCTAGTTTCAAATCTGTAAATAAAGCCGCACTAGTCTAGTTAGATCCAATCTAAATCTAGATAGATCTATAACAATTTAGATCTAGACTAGATCTAGAATCTATCTAGATCTAGATAAATGAATTTCTATTTCTATTCGATGTCAAAAAACAACTGAGAAATATAACATTTGAGCAGCTTAAATGCACTTCCTGGTACACAGACTGTTTCCCAAATATTATTGTCCATTGTATAGGCCCTAGATGTGTACATTATTATACATTCTAGATCTAGATTGCCCTAGTGTGATTTTTTAAATATTGTTTAGCCTTAACAAGTAACCTTTAAAAAATACCGCCTATCTAGATATGAGGGGATTTAAAAGTTTGTAAAGATGTGCTAAACATAAAAAAACATACTAAAGCGTACCCGTCCCACGTTGCTGCGGGCCAAGAAGAAAAGCGGATAAAAATTTAAAGAGGATTTCATCAATGCGTTACGAATTCCGTTTATTTTTAAACGCGTGCTCTTGTTTTCTAAAACTGAGTTATTTATGTTATTTAAAAGTAAAGAAAGCAGGCGCATTTTTTCATGGCTTAAAGTTGTCGGTGCGCCAGTTACTCCACTCTTCCACCTAGAACGTGTTGCATGAAAGCCTTGTGTGCAATTTGATTTCCAACCGCAATAATAAAGTAGAACACAACTCGGCGACATCGCCGGTGACAGGGGCGTCGCGGGGAGCTTTTGGGGGTTTCCAGTTACACTACTGCAGCGGCGCCTGATTCGGGTTTTAAGTGAACAATTATAGTAGCCCACAGTAGCCGCAGTGGATGTCACTCTTTTTAACGAACGCAAGGGCCACAGTTCTCGTGGCGGAACCCGGGGTGCCAAATCGCACCCTCCTGTGACTTTCCCAGGAGTAATCAATTCAACTTCCCAAAGTCTCATGGAGATCGGATGAAAGGTGTGATAATGCATAAAAGACAAAGAAAAAAAAACACACACACACACCAGAGGCGTAGCGACCCTTCCCGGCGCCCGGGGACAAACTTTTCGATTTGCACCCCCCCCTCAAGATTTCGATTTGCATCCCCCCTCAAACTTTCGATTTGCACCCCCCTCAACCTTTCGATTTATTTTTCCAACCCATTTTGGCGCCCCCTAAGGTCGGCGCCCGGGGACATATGTCCCCCCCCTCGCTACGCTACTCACACACACACACACACACACACACATATATATATATATATATATATATATATATATATATATATATATATATATATATATATATTACGATTTACGATAAGTAAATATTAAACACATATTCATATGGACGTTGTGGGCTAATTTTTAACATATATAAAATTGTATAGATCTAATTTCTAAATACAGAAGGGACAGGGTGAAAAAGGGAGTACGATACGCACCCTGCGCAATCGATCTTTTGCGCATGGGTCATAACCTAACTTTCTTCCGGCATATTAGTCACTTCAAACTTCCCTAAGTAAACCTGGATTTTGTGATCTATTTTAATATTGAGGTATTTCGTCTTTTGACGTTTGTTTATACTCATAGCATAGATCTAGACTAATTACTATATGTAGTTGTTAAAGTTTTGATTACATGTTTATAAAGTTATGTGTTACCCGTGCTTAATGTAGATCTAAATCTACTTAGGCTAATATTTTCTTCAAAATGAAAATGGCTGCAGTGCCAGTGCAAGTTAGGTAAAAAATTAGGCTACAACCATCTATTCTAGATCTAGATTCTAGACTAGATCTAGATTTAGATTTCTAGACTTCTGTTATAGGCCTTAAGCTAGATATATTATTTTCTAGTATCTAGATCTAGATTTATCCTAGTCTATAGATCTAGAATTTCTAGATCTATTCTGAGTCTAGAATCTAGCTAGATCTAGAAATTAGATCTAGATCTAGGAGATCTAGATTCTAGAATCTAGATCTAGTATTAGGTTTAATTATGGATTTTTTAAAATAAAATATTCTTTTATTTCAAATACACTATTAAGTTCCTTACCCCTTAGCCTTAAGAGAACATTTGACACCACATTTAAATATCTAGCTTACTCAGTTGACGAGAAAAGAGAGAATTTTAAAATTAGTCTAGAATGGAAAATGAATGACAAAACCCACGTTCTCGATCCCTGCCGGCATGACATGACGTCGTGAACTGGTGTGCACAAGTTTTTTAAGGGGTGTGTCAACTTAGGTTATTTACTCACCGGAAAATAACAAAAAAAAAACAACTGGTTGATAATAAAACTAGATCTAGATCTAGTTATTTATTAAATTGGTAAAGGAAAATATACATTACAAATTCTACTCTACATGTTATTCATACCATTTTATGAAATAATGAACACTTGCATAACTCAAATTACCATAAAAAATATTTTCATTTCAAATTCTAATTTTATTAAATATGCTTAAAATAATATGATTGTTATGATAGTCTATACATACAAGAAATAGGCCTACATTTTACACTCAATTCACATTATATTGAGTCAACAGTGTGGAAGCTGAAGTTCATACACGGTATTAGTGTCTTTTTTTTTTACATTACATTTTTTCTTCATATTGAAAACGTGACGTGTAATTTTTTTTTAATAAAATCTCCAAACATCGTCACTCGCGTGATTGCTTGCTTATGTTTACTATCCCGCGGGTGAAAAATCCCACCACGGTCGAGGGGTCACTGTGCGGTCAGCAGGCCTATAGTACACGTCATAGAATGAACACGCGTACACGAGATCGTCGGTGTCTTCACTTCTCTCCCCCCCCCCTTCTTCAAGCAAATTATAATAGAGTAGAGCCGAATGGATACAAAACTAAGACTAATTTTAAAACTTAGCTTAATTTTTTTTTGTCTACTCTTAAAAGATAAAGCAAATGTAGTTTAATGTAGTAAGGTAAAGTAATTTAAATAATCAATATCAACTTGAAGTCGATCTATCTTGATAAAATCTGTCAAGAAAAAAAACGATAAAAGCTCTCCATCCTGAACTTAAACCAATTGTAATTTTAACAGACGAAATGATGCTCGCGCACATTTTTTTTTAAAACTAGATCTACGTCTAGCTTTAAAAATAATAAACAAATAAACGCTTAAAATGCCCGTAAACAGATTATTTAGCGCCAAAAAAAAGGCAGCTGAACAAGCATTGTTTAAAATACGCAGCAATGAAAAAGGCTAACTGCCTATCAAATAAGTCTAAAAATCGCCCGAAATTAGGCCTAGCTCTGAAAAAGGCCACTGAACGAGCATCACTAATTAATTTATATAAACGAATAGGCCACGCAGCGTTGACGAGGTTAACCACCGGTCACGAATTAAATTCAATGCAGCTACTGTCGGCCCACAGTGAAGAAAAAAAATCAATATAGGCCCTACTAATATTTTAATAAAATTACTAATACAATAATAATTTCCACAATTTTACTTTTTCTGCACACGCTACAGTTGAATTATAATTAAAATACTAGACTTAAAGGTTCATTCCGCAAAAAACAAAAACTAGTTGTTTCTGTGAGGTAACTAGCGTAACAATGACGTCACGATAGTAAACAAAGCGGACAGAAATTTCTGCATGGGTACCTCATCCTCATATTCAATTTTTAAAAAATGTATCAACAGATCTGTAATTAATCATTATAAATATCTCAATTATATATTTCTGCATTTGTACCAGGGGGTTTCGACCATGTACTGGGCCGTTTAAGGCGGCAGTTCAGTTTTTCCCAAGAGTACTCTACAAAAATAGCGTGTATTAATTAAAACCACGTATCTCGTGAATATTTCGAACATTTTAAGGCATGGCGTCCATTTAGTTAGCATCTCACATTAAAATAATGATGAGATTTTGCGATATTAGCAGTTTTTTCATTTGTCGTGTATAGGACCCCTTAAAAAAACGGAAAAAAAAAAAACGACGCGTGACGTTTCAGGGTCAGAGGTCATCCCGCCATCTCAGCAATGATCCAGACTACTTGTATATTTTTTATTAGCTAAGATTTTTTAAATACTGATGTCCGATAATAGACTCTTCCATAATAATAGGTGTGTTGGGTTGTTAGTAGTATTGTAATCTCAATTAACTTTAGGGTTATTAATTAGTAGGTTGAATTATGGATTTTTTAAAATAAAATATTCTGTTATTTCAAATACACCATTAAGTTCCTTACCCCTTAAGAGAACATTTGACACCACATTTAAATTTCCAGCTTACTCGGTTGACGAGAAAAGAGAATATGAAAATTAACCCACGCAGCCGGAAAAAAACGAGAATTTCAAAATTTAATTTCCCGGCCGGGAAAACCGGGAATTTTGATGAATAGCCGGGAAATATCTTTAAAAAAACGGGAAATCTTTCTTCCCAGCATTTCCCGATGTTTTTTTTTCTCCTTTCGGGTGTCACGTGATTTGAACAGGGTATAGGCCTATCCAATCGACAGTATCGCCACATCTCGTGACCTAGTTTTGGCGTACAAACCTAGTCTCGCCGGTTCTCGTGGTGCCTCTTTACCGTTGATCTGTTTTCCGCCCATCACGCAAGCTTACACTGTACATCTACTGATATACTAGCTTAGGGTTATCCAACATTGGGGTGATGTCATTTTTTTTTCAGGATTGGTTTAAAATTTAGTTTAGGCTACACATGATTTTTTTTGGCTTATTTGAAATATAACATGTTTCGTAAAGTAATTTAAAAATTTACCCCCCCCCCTGAAAATTTCAAGTGCCCCCCCCCCCCCCCCAGGAGAAAAAAGTCTGGAAGAAGCACTATAGAGCAGCAACAAATCTCCGCCATTCCACTCTGTCTTTGGCGAGCCACTTTAATTCTTGCCAGTAGCCTGCACTTCTTCTTCCATCTCTCTCCTTCATGTTCCCAGTGGTCTTCCTCTCTTTCGCTTTCCAGGCAGAGTCCTCTGATTTTCAATTTATGTCGATATTTTTTTTTTTAAGGAAGTTTTAAAAATTCACGAAAGTAACGTAAATGACTTCTTCAGAAACAGCCCACACACGCATTTCAAATATTCCTATTTAAATCCAGTATTGCAGTAGTTAGGCCAAGTGAATATGTGCAGCCCAATATTCAGAATTTCAGCTGATTTCCAAATTCTTCAGAACGCAAACAGTCGAAAACTTAAATTATGATTTTTACCATGCCCATCTTAAAAAAAAATGTAATATATATTATAGGGATAATTTACGATTGAATACAAGAAAAAATAAATCATTACAAGGTTAAAATAAAACTTAATTGACACCTTTTTACATTGTAAAATTAAATTTAAAAAAAAAGTTGTTTATAAGGTAAACATTAAATTGCAATTATACAAGACATTTAGTGTTATTTTAGAGTAACATGAACTTCTTTTATTTAAAATATTAGCTTTATTAAAAAAAGAATTATTTCACTAATTGCGCAAGACTGCTTTAATTGCTGTTAAGCTAAGTTAAGGAAAATACTAAAATATAAAGTGCTCTGAAGAGTAAAAACGGGGGGAAAAAATGAAGTTGTTAGAAAAAAACTTTAAATCAAGGCTAGACAGAACATTATGTCAACAAATAGAAAACCATAAATTAATTAAGAAAACTGAAAAATAAAAATTTTTTTTTGTCTATTTATTGTTAAATTAATATACTCTTTTGAACATTTAAGGGCATGGGCGGGTGGTGAGTACCAACTTCCTTATTTCCGAGTCTAAAGATGTAATTCTTGGCTAATAGTTATAACTCAAACAGTTAAGCATAAAAATATATTTTTTTTAATTTTTAAAATCCTCCGTTTCCATGGTGAGGGCGACCATATTGGATTTTATTGACGATTTTAAATGGAAATAACTCAAAAATGGTTTGTACAAATTTCATGAACACTTAATATAGTCTGGAGACACAAGACTTCTAATAGATTACATTTTCAAAAGAGAAGATGGTTTTTAGCGCAATTTCCATACTGGAATTGCGATTATTAATTCGTCATTTCTGGATGTGTGTCCGCAGCTTTAAGTCGTATCTCCTCCTCAACGAAGCAATATCGAGGACTAGTTCCAAAAGCAAATATGTTAAGCAAGTTCCAAGGATGATTGTGGGCCAAAAAAATTCCCGGAATTCCTTCCTGGATTTCCAGGAAAAGCCAAAAAACCTCGAAAAAATGCAGTTTTTGGCAACCAGACCACTTAGCGATTTGAAACATTTACCAATCGATTCCTGTCATAATTTAGAACAATATTGCTGAAGAAAGTTTTCAAAAATATCCTTTTGTTCGGTCACAAAAATTTTTAAAAAATTACATTATACATAATACACTACAGTACTATATAGCAATATAGAGAGCGCGACAACTAAATACCTCCTACACGTCCGCAAATTGTTTTCAATCTCGTTAATAAATATTTTTTCTATTTTGTTTTGAATTATTAAAACTACTTGTGTTGCATTATTTATTTGCTGAATATATGATTTATCTCGATTTAAAATTGTTATGGATAACATAAGGAAATTGCGCTTAAATTG